GGGCAGGGGGGGGAAGGGCAGCGGGGGCAGGGCACGCGGCCAGACTGACCGGCGCGCTCGACTCGAGCACTGCGGCGGAACTCTCCGCTGGCGTGCGAGCCGACGGGTCCGCCGCCGCCAGCGGGTCTGCCGCTGCGCCGCTCTCGAAGCGGACGCGCGGTCGCAGCTCGACGCCGACGGGCGCGTCGGGCGTGCGGACGTAGATGCGCTGGAGCTGGGCGGCGGCGGCGCACCCCTCGGAGAGGCAGGGCCTTTGGGGTTCAACAGGGGTCGGTGAGGGCAGCACTCTCGCGGCGCGGCGCCGCGGCGAGAGGCGCCACCGGGCAAGAGGCGCCTCTCCGCCCACCAGCTGGCTGAGCAGCGGCACCGCGCCTCGAGCCTCGGCCAGCCGGTGCGGCGGCGCAACCACAGCGCGGTGGCCGTGCCGGCACTCGTACTCGCAACCAACCCACACTCGAGGCGCCTCGCCGCCGCCGCCGCCGCCGCCGCCCCCTCCGACCCCTCTGTGGCTGGCCGGGTCGCAAGCAGCGGCCGCGGGCGAGGAGGCAGGCGGCGGGGCCGGGCCGGCGGCCGGAGGCGGTGTGTGGGAGGAGTCGGCGGAGGGGGCATCACCGCCGCGGACCGAAGCGAGAGCGGCAGCGAGGGCGCCGCCTCCGCCTCCGCCACCGCCGCTCTCGGGCGTGTGGGGCCGCGGCGGCAACGCCGGGAAGTCCTCGACGGGCGGCGGCGGCGGGGGCGGCGGCGGGGGCGGCCCGAGCGCCGCAGCGGCGAGCTGGTTGTGGGCAAGGAGGAGGCCGTCCTGCGAGCGTGTGTGGGGCTGACTCGTTGGCGAGGGGGCGGGCAAGGTCGTGGCGAGGGCGAGGGCGAGGGCGAGGGCGAGGGCGAGGGCGAGGGCGAGGGCGAGGGCGAGGGCGAGGGCGAGGGCGAGGGCGAGGGCGAGGGCGAGGGCGAGGGCGAGCGGGGGATGACGCGTGGAGAGGGCGAGGGGGGGGGGGGGGGTGCGCTCGCCTGCGGCAGCCGTCTGCTCGCGCCGAGGGAGGAGGGGCCGCCACGCAGAGTGAGCCGCGCCATGCACGCGCCGGAGGCACCGGGCGCGGGCGGCGCGGCAGCGGACGCCTCGGGCTCCGCCTTGGCGTGGGCGAGGAGCTGGAAAGGCAGCGGCGTGTGCGGCATCGCGTCGCAGCACGGAGCGCAAAACATCGGCTCGATCTCCGCGAGGAAGAATGGGTCCGCGTGCGCCGCGGCGCTCTGTCCGCAGTTGCAGCCCAGCGTCGCGCTGTGCCCCGAGGAGTGCGGCCGAGCGGCGCGCGAGTCGGTTGCTGCGCCGCCGGCCGGGCCTAGCCGCTCCACCACCGGCGACCCGCTCGTCGCGTGCGCGCTCCGCAGCACGACGCCCAACTTTGCGCCCGCGGTTGGCTTGCGCAAGACCACGCGCACGCGGGACGGCGCAGCGTCGCCGCCGCCGCCCGTGTCGCCGTCGGCGGCGACCCTCCCCTCCGCCTCCGCCTCGCCGTGCACCGCGGCGCGCTCCACCTGCGCCAAAGGCAGTCGATATTGAAGGCCACGGGGAAGGGGGCGGCGGGAGGTCGGAAGGGGGGCGGTGGAGGGGCAGCGAGCGTCGCGAGGCAAAGGGGGCTCGGGGCAGGGGCAGGGGCAGGGGGAAGGGCAGGGGCAGGGGCAGGGGGGAAGGGCAGGGGGGGGGGAGGGGGGGGGGGGGGTGCCGCCCCTCCAGGACCATCGCCCCGACCGCAGCCTTGAGCATCGCGGTGGTTGCTGCGTGGCCGGCCGCCGGCGTGCCGTTGACACTCAGCACGCGGTCTCCCACGCGCAGCAGCTCGGCGGCGCCGCCGCCGCCGTCGGCGCCCCCCCCGGCCGAGGGGAGCGGCAGCGGGTGCGCGCGGAAGAGGCACGGCCGGCCTGTGCACGAGACGGCGTCGCAGAGCCGCCGGCCGTCGTGCCAGAGGGCGGCGCATTCGGCGCGCAGCGAGCGGAGGTACCGGTCGTAGGCGGGGCCGCACGCCTTCTCTCGCAGCACCGCCTCTGCCGCCGCCAGCCGGGACGCGTGCTCCGTCGCGGCGTACTGCGGCGGCAAATTGCGGTTGTACGCCTCCCGCGCGCGCGGCAGCGCCGCCTCGCAAGCCGTCACCGAGAAGAGCGAGTCGGCGTCGAGAAGCCGCGCCTACCCGCACGGACGTGGGGAGATATAGGGAGATCTCCCGCGCCTAGCCGCACACAGGCGGCGGGATCGAGAGCCACTGCAGCCAGCTGCAGCCCAACGCCGGGGTGCGGTCTCCGCGCGCCAAGCCGGGATGGAGAGCCGCGGCCATCTCTCGGCTATCTCGGCGATGTCTCGGCTACATCTCGCCAGTCCCGGCGCGGAGAGGCGCGGCTCGGCGCCGGGTACAAAGAGCACCTCCGACAGCACGGCGAAGCGAGCGCTCCACTCGGACGCACTGCGGCTGCCGCCTCCCTTCCCGCCGCCCTTCCCGCCGCCGGCGACACGCAGCGCCCCTCCGGACGGCGCCTAGGAAAGGTCCGGGACAGGTCCGGGACAGGTCCAGGAAGCGCGCAGTGACCCCCCGGGGGGAGGGGCCTACGGACGCGTCGCGGGCAGTGTCGTGGACATGGACATGTCGTGGACAGGGCAGGACCCCCCCCCCGCTGGCGACGTGGCCTTTACGTCCAGCCGTGTCGGTGCGGCCCCCGCAGGGCAGCCTGCCGCCGCGAGCTCGTGCAGGAACCGCAACGCAGCGCCTCGCATCACCGACGTGCTGACAGAGCCCTCTGGCGGCGGAGGCGCGGCGGGCCACGCACCAAGCAAGCCCAGCAACCCTCCGCCGCCGCCTGCGCCGCCTCCGTCAGCCGCGGCATTCGCGCCTCCGCCGCCGCGCTGCTCGCCGAGCATCCGCAGCAGCGAGCCGAAGAGCGGCTCGGCGGCGTCGCCGCTCTCCGCGGCGCTCGGGTCGATCCGGCCGTCGGCCGTGGCGTGGAGCACGTGCGCGACCGGCGCCTACTCTGGTGGTGCAAGCTCGCCTGAGTACCTCCTCTCGGGCGAGAGGGCCTCCGCCTCGGGTGGGGCGGCGGCGTGGACGTGGCGCGCCTTGTCGACGGCGGAGGGGATGCGGAAGAGGCCTGTGGACAAAGGGAGGGGTGGAGACGGAGAGAAGGCAGCTGCCGAGGCGTCGGAGGCGGTAGAGTGCCTCCCGTGCCTCCCGCCATCAGCCGGCTGAGCTGCTTGGACGAGCCGAGCAGCGCGCGCAGCTGCGAGTCGAGCGCCGCCGCCAGCTGCGAGCGAGCCTCCTCCACGCCGCCGTCCTCTTCCCCGCCCAAAGCTGGCGCCGCGCCGCCGCCCTCCGCCCGCGGCGGCTTCCCGCTCTTGCTCGCGCTGTTCAGCGCCGGCCGCGCCTTCCTCGCGCCGCCGCCGCCGCCGCCGCCGCCGCTGGCGGGCGCAGCAGCCGCGCCGCCGCCGGCTGGCTGCAGGGCTGGGTCGGTGGCGGGCCGCGCCGCAGCGAGGCCGGGAAGGCGCGGCATCGGGCCAAAGACAGCGCCGAGCACCGGCGCCGGCACGTCCGCACCGGAGGCAGCCCTGGACGCATCTCGGTCGTTCCTCTCGTTCGCGAGCGCTTCGCCGAGTGCGTGCTGCAGCTCGACCTGCGAGTGGAGCTGCGGCGGTCGGCGCGAGGCGGGAGGAGCGGAGGCGGGAGGAGCGGAGGCGGGAGGAGCGGAGGCGGGAGGAGCGGAGGCGGGTGCGCACCTTGAGCCCGAAGACTGCGCGCAGCGTCTTGAGCAGCGGCACGTCGAGCGAGGAGCGGTGCGAGGCGACGAGCACCACGTCGCAGCTCAGCGAGAGGAGCAGCAGCCCGCGCGCGTGCCGATAGCTCTGGTCGGCCAGCCACGCCTGCACCGCGCTCGAGCTCACGTCGGGCCCGGTCGGCGGAGGCGGTGCATTCGCGGCGACGGCCAGATAGAGCACTCCGCGCTCGGCGTCGTGGTGGGCCACGACGGCCGACACGTCGGCGGCGCTGCGGAAGGTGTCCGCCTCCGACAGGAGCGCCGCGAGGTTTAGCGCGGCATCATCCTGCGACGGGTCCGAGCCGATGATGCCGACGACGAACAGCGGGCTGCGGCCTGAGGGCAGCGCCTGAGGCAGCGCGAGCATCGCAAAGGCCTATCACCCTCTCACTCTTGCGGGCGCTGGCAGCAGAAATTGAAGAAATGCGCGAATTTTTTCCTCCGCTACCTGCCACCCTTGTGGTGGCGGCGTGCCGTCCTCCCATCCCTCCCTTGGGTTGTCTGTTTTCTTTCTTTCTTTCTTTTACCTGCCACCCTTGTCAGGAGCAGGAGAGCCCCACCTGTCCCCCTGATCGTCCTTCCAAAATCCTGCTCGTGCAGGTGGGGACCCTGTCCTCGTCCCATCCCTCGTTTGGCGTGTCTGTTTTCTTTCTTTTTCTTTCCTACGTTGCCTTGGGTTCTCTGTTTTCTTTATTTTCTATTTTGTAATACCAAACAAAGGACGGATTGTCGCCGGCGGGCTGGGCAGGTGTGGGAAATTCGTTTAGATTCAAAAGAACTAGTTGGCCTCTATGACTATGTGTCTTGCTTCGTTGCTTGGCCAACAACAAAAAAGATTTCCGCCGTCAGCATTCCAGCACTGTTTTGTTGCACTGTTAGGAGGGTAGGACTCTGACCTGTTCCGAGCTTCCGACCCTCTTAGGTTTGAACATGGATCATGGTCGGAACAGGGTTGGATCAGGGTCGGAGAGAGATTTTTATTAACCACTCTTCTTGGGTCGGAACAGATGAATGAGCTTCCCCACGAGCCACGTACGGCCCTTTTTCCCGACCTTGATCCGTTGTCCGACCGTGATCCGACCGGAGGTGGTTCGGCAGCAGATGATAACATGATCCGACCGCGTTCGACCACGTGTTCGAGTTCCCACTTACTCCGACTCTGTTTCGACCGTGATCCGACCTGCTCCGACCGTGCTCGAACAGGGGTCAGCGGCGGCGGGAGGTAGGGATTTTCCCAACCTTGTTCCGACTCGGGTCCGACCCTGATCCGACCGTGTTCCTCGAAGTGAGCACGGTCGGATCAGGTCGCGGTGTTCGAGAGAGGTGTGTATCTAGATAGGTCTTTTTGTCTCTACCTCCTAGGGACCCTACTGTTGAATATTTTCGCCCTCTAGAGCTGAACTTCTCCCTTCCTCCCTGCCTGTGTGCGCCTGCGGCGCGATTTTTCCTCCCTGGAAAAATGCATATTTTCGCCTGTTGGAGCCCTACTCGTCGCCCTGAATGGTTGCCCAGGTTGTGGAGGACACGATCCCGGCGTGAACACGACTAACTGACGGATCCGCTCCTGACAGTCGCACGCGCCGCGCTGCGGCGCGTGCGACTGTCTTTGTTTGAAGTAAAAAGTCGAATCAGAGCGGCGTCGGCGTTGTCCTCCATTTTCCTCCCCTGGGCCCCCGTCCGGCACCGCTCCGGGACGCACGCCGGCGAAGCACCATCAAGCTGCTGTACGGCCCCGGCATCGCCTCCCCTGGCTTAGCTAGAGTGAGAGATATTGTGCACATGGTCAGTCTCTACAATACACTCACTGACACTCCACCTCCCAGAGCTCGTCCCGGTCCGCCACGGCCATCCTTGGCCTCCGGAGGGCCCCCGGCCGCGGCGCGGTGCGGCGGCGTCACAAATCCGACCACAAAGCACCGGGACGCGGTCGGGCGATCTGAGGTCCAACTAGGCGTATGCATTGCCCATCCAGGGCTATCACCTGGACCCATCAACAGGCGCCTGCGGCGCCGTGCTCAGGAGCTGCTGTTCACACCTGGGCAAGCATTCATGCAGCACAGTACTTACTGTTGTTGAGAGAGTAGTCTGCTTTTTGTGTGCACTCAATCTTCTCTCTTCTGCCCTCAGATCTAGGCATCCCTGAGGGTGGCCTGGACCGTCAGCCAAATATCCTAAGCCAAGTATCCTGAGATTATGTCCTGAGACCAATCCTGAGAGAATATCCTGAGAAAATTTCCTAAGCCAAATATCCTGAGACAATTTCCTGAGCCAAATATCCTGAGACCATATCCTAAGTATCCTGAGGGAGTACCATATCCTAAGCCAAATATCCTGAGACAATTTCCTAAGCCAAATATCCTGAGACAATTTCCTAAGCCAAATATCCTGAGACAATTTCCTAAGACAAATATCCTGAGACAATTTCCTGAGCCAAATATCCTGAGACCATATCCTAAGCCAAATATCCTGAGACAATTTCCTAAGCCAAATATCCTGAGACAATTTCCTAAGCCAAATATCCTGAGCAATTTCCTAAGCCAAATATCCTGAGACAATTTCCTAAGCCAAATATCCTGAGACCATATTCTAAGCCAAATATCCTAAGCCAAATATCCTGAGCCAAATATCCTGAGACAATATCCTAAGCCAAATATCCTGAGACCATATCCTAAGCAAATATGCTGAGACCATATTCTAAGCCAAATATCCTAAGCCAAATATCCTGAGACAATTTCCTAAGGCAAATATCCTGAGACAATTTCCTAAGGCAAATATCCTGAGACAATTTCCTAAGCCAAACATCCTAAGACCATATCCTGAGACAATATCCTGACCCAAATATCTAAGACAATATTCTGAGACAAATATCCTTAGCGATTGATCTTGGAGAGTCGCCTTAGAAAATATCCTAGAAATATCCTTAGAAAATATCCTTAGAAATATCCTTAGAAATTCTCCTTAGAATTCTCCTTAGAAAATATCCTTAGAGATTATCCTGAGGAATACCCCTTAGGAGAATTCTCCTTAGAAAATATCCTTAGAGATCACCCTGAGGAATACCCCTGAGGGAATATCTAAGGGTTATACTTAGGAGTCGATTTCCGCGTCGAGAAATGGCCGAAGGAGCACGTGGGCACTAGTTATGGACGAAAGTGCATTTTGTTCACAGCATGTAGATGTGAATGCGTTCCCATTACCATTTGCGGCAAGTCTCAAGCGATGGTGCCAGAATCCGACGTCATCTTCGCGCCAGTGATGCGGTTGATCACGCGAGTCGATCGACACGTCTTCGCCGCTCTTTCACCGACGCCCACAGCGCCAGCCAGTGTCACGACGTGCCGCTGCCAAGAACGACACTGTGCTCTGAGGATTCGCCGCACATCGAAGGAATCAGAAGCGCGCCTTCGTGGATCTTTGTGTGTCGGGACAGGCGCTGAGGTTTGTGTCTCCTCTCGTCATCCTCCGCTGGCGTTTCGACACTGTGACAGCGGCAGCGCTGTGGCTTTGACGCTTCGGCTGCTTGCTATCGCAGCCACCGCACTCCCGTCGCTGCCTTCCTGTTGCCTGCAGTGGCACGCTGCGGAGTCTCCCCGGCTCGGCAGTACTGGTCGGCGTCTTGTCCTGTCGTCACCCTCGCGTCGCCGCCGTGGTCCGGCGCGGCGGTCATCCGGACAGAGTGTATCCCTCAGTGAGCCGACTCGCGACCCGCACTGCATGAGGGCAAGAAAAGCCGAGCCGTGCCACCGTCCTGCTCCCCCCTTTTGCATGTCTTTTTACGTGAGAGCATTCTGCTAAACAAGAGGAAAACCAGAGTACTCTCCACTCTTCGCTACTACCTACCACTCCTTGACGGCCTGCTCAAGGAGAGGCTTGATCTCATCTGCCCACCTGGGTGCGAGCTCCTTCCAAGTTGACCGCGCGAACTCATAGCACTCCTGTGCGGTTCGCCCTCCATCCTCGAAACCGGCCGGGGCACCGTTGAACATCTTGGTCTGCTCGTTCCCCCCCCCCGCGGCACGTTTGTTGCCGGTCTGTTTTCCAGTCTGTTTGGACAGGTAGCGCTGCGTGTACGCTTGCTTCTCCGCCTTTGACATGATGACCATGTGCGTGTGTGAGTTGACCTCTGCCGCGGTGTTGAGTGGGCGCCGAAGCAGCCCTGGGGCGGCGGCATGTACGGCTGCCTCGGCCACGGGGATGGCATTGCGAACGCTCTGCTTCCCAAGAAGGTCGAGTCCTTGGAGCTGTGATCTGTGCAAGCGTGATCGGTTGATAACCGACACGTGTGTGCAACTCCTCTCACTAGCGCTTTTTCGAGACCTTGACGTTCAGACAACCGACACGGACACGTGTGTGCAACTCCTCTGACTAGTTCTTTTCACAGACCTTAGACAGCAGGGAAGAGTCGATGTGCAAAAAGAGACGCCTTACTGCGGTCGCCACGCCCGCGCACTTGAGCCAGCTAGTCCTACTGTTGAGGCTTTCCGCACGGCGCCCGGGGCTGCTGCGGTCATGTCGTGCTCGCCGCCCATGCGCTGGCTCGTCATCGCGACCCTCGTCGCCACCGCGGCGGCGGCGCCGGCCGAGGTCGACGGGCCAAGCCTGGCCCAGGCGATGCGAGACGGCCGTCCGTTTTTCCTCAAGTTTGACACGGCGCCTTGCCAGAGGTGCAGAGAGCTCGACGGCGCGTGGGCCGAGTTGGCGGGCGAGTACCCGGGACTCATCGGGCGCGTCGACTGCACCCGCTCGCCCGACGTCTGCGACGCGCGCCAGATCGCGTTTGATCCGGACGAGCCGGTGCCGACGCTCAAGTTTTGGACCGGCACCGCCTTCCGCGTCTACACGGGGCCGCACGAGATCGAGTACTTCCGCGTGTACCTGCGGCGCAAGGTGCAGTCGGAGGAGGTGAGTGAGCGGCTCGACACCGCCCTCCGGCCCATCTCGGCCGACGAGCTCAGCCGCGCGTGGCGCGTCGCCCCGTCTCTCGGTCGGCTGCCGCCAGCACCTTGCCCGACCCTGCCTCGAAGCTCCTCTCCCTAGGCGCCTCGCCCTCTCGCTCGGCCGGCTGCTGGTCGCGTGCGCCGCCGCCGTCGGGCTCGCGGCGTGGCTGCTCGCTTCGCCGAGCGAGGACCCGGGCAGCGTGGTAGTGGTTGCCTGCGACGGCAAGCCCCTCCTCCCGGGCGAGCCTCCCTCCGCCTCGGGCGGGCTCTGCGCCTTCCGGCTCGACGCCGCCGCGGCGCAGCTGACACCGATCGGCTTCCGCCCGGCGATGAGCACGCGGCTGCTCCACCTCGCGGCCGAGGCGGCCCCGGCCTCCCTGCGGCTCGGCCGCCGGCTCGGCTGCTACATCCTTCACGTCGCGACGGAGGCGTCCGACCCCGACGAGGAGGAGACCGCCCCGCAGCCGCGCGTGCTGTCGCTCCGCCTCGACCTGCGCCGCGCGCCCTGCTTCGACGCCGCCGGGAGCGTGGCCGTGGGGGGCGAAGGCCGCCGCGGCGCGTGCACCCACGTGAGCTGCGGCAGTCTTGGCGGCGACGCGTGCGCCGTCGCGTCGGCTGCAGACGGGAGCGTCGCCCTCCTCTCGCACGAGTGGCTGTGATTAATTAACTAAGTAAGTAAGTAATTAAGTAATTAGGACCGTCGCCCTCCTCTCGCACGAGTGGCTGCTGCCGCGCCGGCGGCTGCTCAAGCCGTGCCCGCGGCTGGCGCGCTCGGGCGGTCTCGTCCCCTCGTCTGCGGCCGGAGCAAGTCGCCTCCCTCTGCCGGCTGTGGCCACATCGACGCTGCTGCCGAGGACAGGGCGGGAGAGAGGGGGCGCGACGGCGCTCCCCCTCCCGTCGGCGGCGGGAGGGTGGCGGCTGCTGCTGGGGGACGCGGCGCGAAAGACGCTGTCGGTGGTCAGCGGCGGCGGGGCGGGCGGCGGCGAGGGCGGCGGCGTGGTGCGTGTCGAGGACGGGCCGACCCACCTCGCTAGCCACCCGTCCGGCGGCGTCGCCTACGCGCTGTGCGCCGGCTCGGGCGTGCTGCTCGTGGCGGACGTCGGCCGAGACGCCGGAGGACGCGGCGCGCTCACCCTCGTTCAGCGAGTCGAGCTCGTCAACGGCGCGGACGCCGACGGCACGGACGGCTCCTCCTCCGCCGCCGGGGCGCTCGCCTGCTCCTCGGACGGCTCGTTCGTGTACGTGGCGTGCGGCGGCCACATCTCCGCCCTCCGCACCTCGGAGGGGGGCCGCCGGCTCGAGCTCGCGCAGCGGGAGGCGCCCCCCGCCAGCGGGCCCTCCGCGCCCCCCGTCGGCCTCGCCCTCGCCGGCGGGTCGGAAGAGCTCCTCCTCTCTGCCGAGCAAGGCGCCGACCTCGTCCGCATCTACCGGCGCGACGTCGCCTCTGGCCGGCTCGACCTCGCGGGGGAGGTTGGCTGCCCGGCGCCGTGCTGCGTGCTGCCCCTCGCCTGGCCGCCGCCCGCGTGAGGGGCTGAGAGAGAGACTATATCTTCCCGTCCTTTGGGGCTGCGGCCGGGCCCGAGAAGGGAGGGGGGGGTTCTTATCCCGACTCGCCGGCCGGGTGCATATTTTGAATCTAGGGCGGAAAACGTTACAAGCACTTGCTGGAGCTCTTGGAGTCAGAGTCGCGGTCTAACCTGAAACCTCACATCCAGGGCCGGGGCGGAGCTAAGAAGCGTACCCAGCGGGCCGGATGATCGGCATCGGGTTGCGGGCTAGAGAGCCCTGACCCCTAGGGGGGTGCGCGTTCGCAGGGAAAGGGCTGTAAAGTAAACACGGGTCCCCGAGGGTTAGCTCTGCGCTCCGGGTTTTTCCCCTAGCAGCGGAACGCCCCCTCTACTCGGGGCTAGTAGACACCAGACACTAGCACGACAACACACACATTCCTCACTGACATCACCGCTCGGAACCCCCCGCTCCGCGCACGGTCTCCTCACCCCACTCCGAGGGGGGCCCTCCCTCCCCTCGGTCCTCCCTCCTGTTCGCCTTCCGAGATGGTTACGCGACGACTGTGGGACCCGACCTCCCCTCCTAGCCTTCTTTGGCCGCGGCCCCGCCGCCGTTTCGTCCTCTCTGCACGATCCCGCTGACTCCGCCTCCGGCGACCCCGCTCCCGACTCCCTGGGCGAGGACGGTGGGGCAACTGGCATTGGGGGTCGCACCCACTTCCACCCCCCCGCGGAAGGTCGAGCGCTCGAGCCCGCTCTCCCTGGTCGACGAGTCGCGCCCGCACCCGCGGCCTCTCTATCGTCCTCGGCTCGCCCCCCCCCACCGTCGCCTCGTCTTTACCAAAGCAATTTTCTTTTTATTAAAAAAAAGCGCCGTGTTCTCTCTGTGTGCTCACGGCCTCAGAACCTCTTGGCGCGGGAAACGCCTTGACAAGGTTACTCGGGCGCATAAGAAGATGTGGTCGGCTGGCTTGCCCTTCACCGGCTGTCATTGGCGCTGTGAGTGTGGCGCCTTCAACAAGCCCGACTGGACGCACTGCAACGCGTGCGCTCTCCTGCGGCCGCTCGGGCTGGACGGGGTGATCCTCAGCCTGATCACCGAGGTCTCCGTGCTGCGCTCCAGGGTCGACAAGGCGGCGGTCGAGACCAGCTCGCTGCGTTCCAAGCAGATCTGTGCGGTCAACGAGGTCGGCCTTCTGAAGTCCAACGCGACGAAGGCGGAGGTGCGTGAGGCGGCCCTCGAGCGACGGCTCGCGGCGCTCGAGGCGGACGCGGAGGCGCGCGAGGTGGCCTTTGCGCGGCTGCTTGCGGCGGTGGAGGCGCGAGCTGCGCCGGCAGCCTCGGAGCACGAGCTCGTGGTCGGCCGCGTCATGCTCAGCGGCTCCGGCGACGGCGCCGTGCTCAGCGGCTCCGGCGACGGCGCCGTGCTAGTTGACGGCCAAAACGACCGCCGCGATGCTGGCGCCGCCGTGCTAGAGTCCAAGCCCGTGCCCGGCGACGGCCTCGAGCCCGACGACGGCATCGTGCCCGCCGTCGGCAACGGCACCGAGGCTCCCCACGGCCTCACCACGCTGGTGCAGAAGGTGGAGTGGATCAAAGTGCGGCTCCGTATAGCTGCAGGAACTAGTGTCCTCAAGACGGTGGAGAAGGCGAACGAGCTGGTGGGGGTCGTGGCCGACGGCGGCCTCGTGCCCCAGGTGGACCGGCTGCTGTTCCTTCTGTCGTCTGGGGAAGACGCGAGCCGCGGTGTGGCGTGAAGGCTGGCCCACCTCAGCGGATCGCGTCCAGCTTGCGGCGCAGCGCTCTAGCGTCAAGCGGCTTGCGCGGCTTGGCGGGCTGCCTCTGAGTCGGAGGCGAGCGAAGGATGACCGGAGATGTCGCTGCCATTGGCACGCGGACGGGGGAGGGCGGTGGCCCGGTGGCGACAGAGAGGCTCGAGTGTGGCGGCCCGCTTCGCATCGCCCCGCTCGGAGCGTGGACGCGGCGAGTCGCCGGTTCGCCCGGTGGCCCATCGTCAAGCTCCTTCCGTACGATGCGCGCTAGTCCGCCAGGATAGAAGCGGTCCGTCGCATTATAAAAGTCACGTAGAAAGTCGTCTGCCAGTGAAACGAGCGCCGCGGTGTCTGACACCTCCGGCCGCCGCATCCACCGGCCGCCAGCCCCGCCCCGGTCGCGGTGGACTGCAATTCTCACCAGCAACTCCACAAACTCGTCAAAGATGAGCTCGTCTCTCGCGTTCGCCGCGTGGACATCGGCAAGGCGTGGCCGGTCGCCGGTCGCCGCCTCAAAGATATCGGGCACGTCCGACACCTTGAGCGCGCCGCCACGGAACATACCCGTCTCGCGCAGCATGATGATCATCTCGTTGTAGTTGAACCGGTCCTCCGAACTGAGCAAGTCGGCAGTGTCGCCGCCACTGTCCATGAGCCACACCTCTTTGCCGTCTCTCCGCGCCGCCGCGTCGTCCTTGATGGCAAACGGTGAAGTCAGCGCTGCCGCCGTCTGCCGCGATCCCCTAGAGAGCACCTCGCCGTGCTGCGTATTCCAATACTTCCAGCAGCGCCGGAGGATGGGCAAGTGGCGGGCGAGCAGTGAGGTGAAAGGCGGACGACGCAGCTCCCTGCTGAGTGCGTCCAGCCTCGAGGCTCCTCCGAGGGCCGGCTCGACGTGCCCGTGCAGTAGCTTGCGAAGCTGGACGCCGAGCGGCGCGGGCGCCTCATTTGCCAGGCGCGCTTTGGTGTGGGCGAGGTGGGCGAGCGCGACGACAAAGCCGGCCAAATTGATGGTGGCCAAGGGCGCGTGAGGGTCCAACCCGACTCGTCGGTTGGACGGGGAGGTGTCGCCGCCTCCCGAGGGCGCGTAGCTCCCGGCTTCGACTTCGACTTCGAGGAGGGCGCCTTCCGTTCCCGAGCGCGACATCGCCTCTTCAAACAGAAAGTCGACGTCCGAGCACGTGAGGCCGTTGCCGAGCAGGCCCGGCGAGTCTCGGAGCAAGTGCCACCACTGCGCGCGGCAGAGGCACGCGCCGGAGCCATCCATGATCCACGCCTCCTCGGGGTCGGAGGGCGGCCTCGACTCGTCAGCAGCCTGCTTTGCCTGCCCCTCAGTCGTTGCCATCCCGCCGTCTGCTAACGCCACTGCGAGGCCGGGCTGCGATCGGTAGAAGTCAAACGCCTGCGTGAGGAGTGCCTGCTCCTCTCGCAGCACGTCTTTGCAGTGGCGGAGCTCAGCAGCCTTCGCACCAGGCTCCTCTGCCACCAAGAGGGGCAGTAGGCAACCGAGGAGGCGCGACTCCGGCCGATCCCCGTCCTCGACCTCGTTCGGCGGCAACGCTTCGCCCCATCCTGGCGCGTCTCCGCCCTCCCCGCCGCCTCCCTCCTCGAGCGTAGTGAGTGGGCCCTGGTCGTCGGGTGCTCTTGAAGGCACATCCCTCTCCCCACTGCCTCCGTGACCCGATCGCGGGAGGATGAGCAGCCGGTTCCGCCTCAGCGTCGCAATCGCGTCGTCAAAGGAGGGGAGACAGCTGGCGTCATGACTGGCGTCCATGTGACCTGCGTGTCGCGCTGCGTCGACTGCCACCAAGCCTTGCGTCCCGGCAGCGCGGTGCGTGCGTTCAAAGGCAGCAATCCTTTCCAGGGTGGAGGCGTCTAGCTGAGTTCGCCTTGGCGGCTCGAGCGAGAAGCGCGACAGGCTGCGCTGCATTCGCTGGCTAGATTGATTCTCTGCTGACTGGTGCCGGCCCCACGCATCGGCATTTCCCGCAGTCTGTGGGCGACCAGCCCCACTCGCCGCGCCGCTCTGCAGCCTCGCCCACTGGCTCGCCCGGCTCGCGCCCATCGGGGCCGTCGTTGCGCGCGCGGTCGCACCTGTGGCCTCTCGCTGGAGCATGGTCCGCCAGGCCGCGATGCCCGAACCTCCCTCGCGGGCGATCGCTCTGATCTCTGCAACCTTTGCCTCTGGAGCAGAGACGCCCCACGCGTACATAGCCCGTGCCCGATCTGCCTCTCCAATCATGATCCGCCCGCTCGGGCCAAGAAGGCCAACCGCGGTCGCCGGAGCCAGGCCTGTCGCCGCGGTAGCCGCGGGTTGCGGAGAGCGGCGAGGGCTCGCCTCCCGGCGGGAGAGGAGGGGGGCGGACTCGGATCTCAGCATCCGGTCTAGGCCTCCGTCAGCCGCTGCCGTCGCGGGGCGGGGCCGGTGCTTGGCGGGGCGCCGGGTGCGGAACCACGCATCGAAGGCCCCAGCATCGTCGTCGATCATCTGTGGCTGGCTGGCTGCGAGTCGCGCACCGCACGGCAGCAGTAGCGCCGTGGCGCGCTAAACGCGACGCGCGAAACGATCTTCAACAGTTTAGTGTAGAGCTTTTGTTGTACCTGTGTTAGTGCCAGTGCGAGCCAGTCCCGTGCCCAGTCCTGTGCCCAGTGTCGTGCGAGGGAGTTTTGTTGTAAAATTCTTTTTGAGCAGTGCGCGCCAGTCCCATGCCTAGTGTCGTGCGAGGGAGTTTTGTTGTGAAATTCTTTTTGAGCTAAATGTAGCCGCGGGAGGGAGATTTGTTTTGTTTTGTTGCCATCGATGTAATGAAACAAACGCAAGGCGGACACACACGGTTGGCGTGTTTCTTTTCTTTCTGCCAAGTACTTGGCCTTAGGTACGTTGTTGGCAAAACAGGACACAGAGCTCACACAAATTCACAGTGGGAGGAAAGCGGCGAGTCGCAATTCCTGGGGTCCTTGTGCGTTGTGGCGGGCCACCCTGTCCAGAGGCAGAGCCCGGGAGGTCCATCCCGCCAGTCCTTCCTGTGGCGAGTACAGACAGACTTGGCCTGCCTGTCTAGGAGTTTCCTCTCGCACCCTACCTGGTTTCCTTTCCGTGTTTCCTTCTAGTTTCCCTCTAGTTTAGGGTAGGGTGCCCACAGGGCCCAAAAAAAGAAAGTAAGAAAGAAATGGGCCACCCCCGATCGCAGCACTTCGTGTTGGAGAGTCGAGATATTGAGATTGTGACTAGGAGGGAGGGACGCTGGGGATTCTCAAAGGTATACCCTTGGAATGGCCGGATCCAGCCTTACGAGATCGCGCGCGCTTCGCGCGCTGCACTGCCTGTTCTCCGCGGCTGAGTGACGACGCGTGCCGTGTGCCAGCAGAGTTGGGCGCGCGCGGCGCGACGGCGCCCGCGAGGGAAGGCGCGGGTGCAGCGGCCGCCGGCGGCCGTACCGCTCGCCGGCCAGCGCAGCAGCGGCCAGCGCAGCGGCCGCCGGCGCAGCAGCCAGAGCAGCCGGTGCGCGCCTTGCGAGGCAGTACTGCCGCCCGGCAGCCTTGAGGCGGCCGGGCGGCAGTGTACTCGTTCGAGCTTTGCGAGCCGTGCGCGCGCCGAGGCGCGCACGGCGCGCGCCCGCCCGGCTGCCAGTAGGAGGCGGCGCAATATGGCCATAGTACAGCCCTTGAGGAGGAGGAATAGGCTGGCTGGCAGTGCTGTATGCCGCCGAGGGGCAGTTTTGGGGTGCTGTCCCCATCCCAGGGGGCTGCTAGCAGAACGCGTCCGCAGCCGGGACAACCCGCCCCCCCAGCCGAGGCCGGTCGAAGCCCCCTTGACCACAGCCAAGAGGAGTCCTCTTGGTGCTCCTGGCGGCCGTTCAAAGGTCGGGCGCGCGCCGATTGGGGGGGGGGGGGTCTTGCTTGCTCCACACCGAGCGCCATCGGTCCGGACCGGCGTGGTCATTGAGGGTAGGCCTGCACAAGGTCTGAGCCGCGGCCGCTCGGCGCCAAGTGCAGTGTCACGCTCGCACGCGAGCGACTCACAATGGGGAACCCTCGTTTCCTATTCACTCGGTCCCCCAACGGAAGAGAGGCCTCGCTCCTATTGGAACACTCCAACATCAGATTTGCCTCGTGCGTCCCTTTTTCAGTCGGGTCCTGTGGGCACCCTATCTAGTTTCCTCGGGAAACCCCGGGGAAACTCCGTGGATGTCCGTCATTTTGGGGGGCTCTGACTGAGGACTGAGAGCCGAGTCTGAGCTACTGAGGCTGTTTTGGTAGTTTGCCGATTTCCTCCATTTTGCCCCATATTTTACCCCAGACCAGCTCTCAGACTCAGGGAAACTCGCGAGTTTCCCGAGGGAAACTCGAGAGAAGCAGAATGGAGCACCAAACACCCTCTGGTTTCCCTGGAAACTTCCGGAAACTCAAAGACAAAGTGCTGGGGACCCTCTGGTTTCCTTTTTGGTTTCCGGAAACTCCTAGACAGGCCAAGTACAGACTAACGACGGGGAGGCGGAGCAGACGCCCGCAGGGCGAGACGAGGGAGGGAGCAGGACGTTGCGGAGATCAGCAGGAGGATGTACGAAGAGATTAGGAGCAGCAGGGACCCGAGGGACCATGTGGAAGACGGCTAGTGCTAGTACCCCGTCGGGAGGACGACCCCGGCTAGTCGCCGACCACACCCACAAAGAACCCTGCACAAAGATCGCAAGGGCGGGGACCTGTTCCTTTTTACCCATCTCACAGTAGAGAGGTGTCCGTTTTTATTTATTTATTTAGACTAACAACTTTTTCACACCGCTCACCGGGGAGTGCGTGTCCCCGACCCCGTCCGAAAAAGAAGGACGCACATGCTGAAGCCGCCAGCTTGTGCTGTGAATAGCACTGTACTGGGTTCCGGCTCCTAGCCAGATAGGGGGTCTGTTGACAACCACCGTCCTCGTCGGCTCAGCCAGCGATACGTATTGCAAGATTCCCAAGAGGTAGGTAGGTCCGGTTTTGACCGCCCCAGAGGCCCTGAGATAAAATTTGTTTTTTTTTCGCTTACCCTGGCGCCCCCCGTCCAACGGTGTCGGCAAGCGTTGCCCAAGCGCCGCCTCACCTGGGCAACTCCACTTCTGCCCGCCGCGTGGGACAATGGACGACCTGTGGGAGATCGAGCTCACGCGTGACAAGTGGGTGCCTGTAGACGCGGCAATGCGGGCAGCCATCGCAGACGCTGTCAACAGCACAAGCAATTCCGGGCAGTTCGAGGCTCGCGGATTCTCGTATGAGGTCGACCTGAACGCGATGGTGCAGAGAAATAAGAGCACTCAGAGGACGCGACCCATCCGCCGTAAGCAGTCTGCGGCAGCGCAAGAGCACGAGGCGCCACCGCCCGCGGCCGCGACGGCGCCACCGCCCGTGGCCGCGACGGCGCCACCGCCCGCGACGGCGGAGGAGCGCGAGGCGTCACCGCCTGCTGCGGCGAGAAAGCGCGCGAGGGTGGCTGCCGATTCGCTGTCCACTCCTCCCGCGGCGGCGGCGGCAGCGAGTAGCGCCGGTGCGAGCCCCGGCGCAACGCCCGACTCGCCCGAAGGCATCGCTCCCAGCAGCGACAACGACCACCTGGCCTCCATTTTCGAGCAGATGGGCGCCATCAAGAAGCTCCAAAAGGATACCTTTCGGGCGACCGCGTACCAGAAAGCGGCTGCGGCCCTGCGGGCGCACCCGTCCGCCGTCGTCTCGGGCAAGGAGGCTCGCGGCATCGCAGGGATCGGCAAAGGCATGGCGGAGCGGATCGACAAGGCGCTGGAGCCGCCTGCCCGGGCCGGAGGAGTGAAGTGCGTCCCTCCACAGCCGATGCGTGAGCAGGTGCTCGAGAGCGGGCACCTGCCCGAGCTCGAGGAGCTCAAGCGAGACACGGACGTCGTCGCCCTGCGCGAGCTGCAGCTGGTCCACGGCGTCGGCGCCGTCCGGGCCGGCGCGCTCATCGGACAGGGCGTCCGCGCGTTTGACGGCTTGCAGCAGCTGCGCGGCCTTCGCGGACCGTTCCTGCACTTTTCCTGTAGGCATCCGGACGCTCGACGGCTTGCGCGCCGCCGTCGCGGGCGGGAGCGTGTCGCTCGACCCCGCGCAGCGCATCGGCCTGCGGCACGCGGAGGAGTTCCGGCAGAAGATCCCTCGCGCCGAGGCGAGGCGGCACGAGGAGGCGCTCCTGTCTGCGCGGGACGCGTCGCTGCCTGCGATGCAGCTCGTCGTGTGCGGTTCGTACCGCAGGGGCAAGGCGACCTCGGGCGACATCGACGCGCTCGTCACTCCGACCGACGGCGCCACGCCAGCGTCGCTCCTCGCACGCTGGTGCAGCCGCCTCGCCGCGTGCCCAAGTGCGGCGACCGCGCCGCGTGAGCGAGGCTGCGGTGCGCCTGTAGGGTTGACGTGTTGCGCGAGAGCGGCTACGTGACGGACACGCTCGCGCAGGGGCCGAGCAAGTTCATGGGCGTGTGCCGCCTGCCGGACGGGATGCACCGGCGGCTCGATTTGCGCAGCGTGCCGCCGGAGCAGTTCCACTTCGCGACGCTCTACTTCACGGGGTCGAACTTGCTCAACGTCAAGATGCGACTCCGCGCTATCGAGCTCGGGATGACCCTCAACGAGTACCGGCTCGAGCGCAAGCCCGCGGTCGACGGGCAGGAGGGGGAGGCGGTGCCGGCGGGGTCGGAGCGAGAGGTTTTCGAGGCACTCGGAATGGACTACCTCGAGCCACACGAGCGGGGCTGAGTACTCTCCATCACTAAAGCCGTAGTGGGTGTGTGGCTGTGGGTCTCTGGAACGAGAAAAAGAAATAAATCGCTCTCGGAGAGAGACGGCAACACAATCTCATTGAGGCAGGGTCACTCACAAAGTCAAAGAACCCTGATGCACGGCCTGATCCCTGTACCCTGACCCTGTGGCTGTGCACAATATCAATAATCAATATTTCAAAAGTACAAAGACCGCATGAGCTTTGTTATCTATTTCTTGGTTCTCGCTCTCGAGTCTGCGTCCTTGGAAGTTGTCTCCTGACGCTGACCTCGAAGAAGAGGGATTTCTTGTTGGTCTTTAAAAATCTCTCTCTGACCTCGATCCTCGTTTCACGACTCCTGCTCTCGTTGGTTTATTATTTACACTGCTGCGACACTCCGACACACAGCGCGGACACTGCGCAAAACTTAACTGATGAGTGCAGAGTGCACGCAGTGGCACAGACAAGACATTCAGGTCTCAGCCTGTGCGTGGCGTACGTGGCGAACCAGCACTCTGAGCGTGCGCAGAATCTGCTGAAGAAGCTGCGGCTCGCGTGGAAGGATCTGCGCATCGAAAGCAAGCTCAAGCTGCTGATCGGCTTCGTGCAGGTGGTCGCGCCTATGGGCGCTGTCTACTCGATCACGATGCCCGACTCGTTCCGCGCCTTCCTTGAGGCCATGGAGGCGATCTACATCGACATCTTTGGGCCGTTGTTTGTGCCGACAAAGTGCCTCGGCGGACTCTTCAACCTGCTCCTGCTGAAGGGGTTCGTCCCGATCGGGCTGCTGCTCTTCGTATGGCTGATCCTCTCTATCGTGCGACTGCGCAGCGAGCGGCGCAGCGAGCGGCGCAGCGCCAACGGCGACGCCGTCCCGCCTCTCTCCCCTTGGCGCGCCGTGGTGCACGCTGTCCGGAGCAGCCTCCGCCTGCTGCTGCCTGCCACCCTCTGGATGATCGTCATCTTCTGCACCAGCGTCTCCGCCAGCGTCTTCAGCGCCTTCCACTGCCGCCGGTTCGTCGTCAACACCGACATGGACACGCGCGAGTTTCTGCGGGCCAGCCTCGACATCGAGTGCCCCGGTGACGGGCGCGAGGCGAGTCCCGAGTACCATGAGCTGCAAGGCCTGGCGTGGGCGCTGATAGTCCTCTGGCCCATCGGCTCGCTGCTCGGACTAGCGGCGCTCTTCCTGAGCATCCGCGGCGCGGTGATGCACCGCAAGCCAAACAAGTGGTCCCGCGCCGCCGGCCTCCTCACCCGAGACTTCAAGGCCGAGTTTTACTGGTGGGAGTGGCTCGAGCTGGTGCGGCGGCTGCTGCTCACTGGCTTCGTGCTCGCCATCCCCGAGTCGGCCGCCTTCCTGCGGCTGGCGGTGGCGCTCGTCGTGAGCGTGCTCTTCCTCATCAGCCAGATGCTCCTCGTGCCGTACAAGGCGGAGGTGATCCAGTTCCTCTCGTGCGCCGCGCAGCTCGTCATCATCGTGCTGCTCATCGGGTCGACGTTCATGTACCTACACGAGCAGTTCTCGGTGGCGATCGCGAGCGCGGCGGTCGAGACGGGCGACACCGACCCGGTCGTATCGGTGCTCGTCTTTGAGTCGCTCGAAAACATCGCCGTCCTCTGCTTCGCCGCCATGGCCGTCCTCGCGCTCGGCCTCTCCGCGCTGACGGTCCGCAGCATGGTGCTCCGTGGCAAGGACGAGCTCCTGCGGCTCAAGGCGACCAAGGCGCGGCCACAGGTGTCCATCGCGCGGGGGCTCAAATACCACCTCTTCCTGAGCCACATCTGGGGCACCGGCCAGGACCAGGTCGCCGTGATCAAGCGGCAGCTCCTGCGGATGGTGCCCGACCTCGTCATCTTCCTGGACGTCGATGATCTCGAAGACATCGGCAACCTGGAGGGTTACATCGACGAGACGATGGCGGTGCTCATGTTCCTCTCGCGCGGGTACTTCACCTCGCGCAACTGCCTGCGCGAGGTGCGGTCCACCGCGGAGCGAAAGCTGCCCGTGATCCTCGTCCACGAGAGGGACGTCAACAAGGGCGGCCTGCCGTACGAGGCGTCGATGGACGAGTGCCCGGAGGACCTGCGCGAGTTTGTGTTTGGCAAGGAGGGCGCAATGCGCGATGTGCTCGAGTGGCACCGCGTCACCGTCTTCCAGCTCTGCACGCTCAAGGAGATTGCGCGCGTCGTCCTCGACTACACGCCGCTCTACCTCGACGACCAGATCCTCGACGTCTACCTCAAGACGGACTGCGAGGTGGAGGACCTGACCTTTGCCTCGCCCGTGGCGGCGTACGCCTCCCCAAACAACGTTGGCTGCCGGCGGGCGATCCGTGAGCTCGCAAAGACCTTCCGCTCGAGCGACTTTTTCGTCCGGCTCGAGCCGCCCGCCGAGTGGGTCGACCCGGCCGTGCTCGCGAGGAGGAGGCTCGAGGAGGGCGAGGGGGAGCTGGGCGGCGCGTCCGCTGGGAGCAACGTGTCCCTCTCCGGCACCGGCACCGGCTCCGGCCCCGGGAGGGTGCCCCGGAACCTGGAGAAGCGCCGCCAGATCTTTCTGCTCTACCTCAACCGCAACACCTGGCACGGCGCGGCGGGTGTGGAGCTGGCCGCAGAGGTGCGCCTCGCGCTCGAGATCGGGGCCGAGATTGTCATGCTGCATGAGAACGACCCCGAGCGCGACGGCTGCGAGTTTGGCCACTTCTTCGGCACCACGCCCGTCGACCTGATCAACAACGGGCTGTTCAAGCCGCTCGCCGTCGCGCTCATGACGGGCCCGCACCGTCGCGTCAGCCTCTCGCTGGCCGCGCAGGCGATGGGGGCGACGCGCAAGCGAGTCGCGAAGCGGATGAGCTTTCACAGGTCGTCGAGTGGCTCGGCGGACGACCTGCTCGACGCCGACGAGGAGCGAGAGACCGAGACGACCGGGGGCACGGATAACGGGCAGGGGGGGCAGGGGGGGCAGGAGGCCGAGTCGAGCGTGGGGTCGGGGCTCTGGAGCCGCGCCCGCGGCCGCCTCGCCCACACGAGGGGGGTCGCGGCAATGAAGAGGGGCTCCACTTCGAGGGATCTGCACGCGGCTCCGCCACCGGCTCAGGGAGGCTCAGGTGCCGGCGCGACCGAGGAGGGCTCGGGTTACGCCCCGCCGCAGCCGCCGTCGAGGCCGCCGTCGAGGCCGCCGTCGAGGCCGCCGTCGAGGCCGCCGTCGCCGCCCCGCCGTGGGCTCACGCGCCGCGAGTCGAAGAAGCCCGTCGCTTCTTCGAGCGGAGCGGAGCAGGCGCACGCCAGCTCATCCCACGTCGCACTCGACGTGAGCGGTACCGCCGGGAGCAGCGTCGAGCAGGCTGGCAAGGTGTGCGTCGTTTGCCTGAGTGGGCCTCGGACGCACGCCGTCAAGCCGTGCCGCCACCTCTGCCTGTGCCCCGACTGCGCCGCGACAGCGCTCAAAGACTTGGACACCTTTTCGCAGTGTCCAATCTGCCGCGCCGACATGGATGGAGTGATGCGCATCTACGAGCCGTGAGACGGCCGAGATCGTCAGTCACAATCTAGAGGGGTAGTAGTCTACTAGAGCCGAGAGCTCGTTTATACACCTGCTCCTCCTTTTTTTGCTTTTATCCATCTAAGAAAGAAAGTAAACAGACAACCCAAGGGAGGAACGTGTGGGAGGACCCGCCCGGCACGCCGCCGGCCGCCGCCACCACACAGGGAGATACATTTCAAGGGGAGGCAAGAGTCTGTCAGTGCGGGTAGCGTGCTGGCAATCACGGGCGCTATTTTGTCGTACTCCTCTTCGGCGAGCGCTCCAAATCTCTAGACCCCATTGCCTTTATGTTTAAGGAGGCCGCTCTCGCGCGGGTCTCAAGGATGTCGCCGTGTCTTTTGATTCAGGCGCCTCCCGTTCGACTCTTGCTGTCGCCCTCGCCGTGTGTTTCTCGACCTTCCGCATGGAGTAACGCGCCTCTTCCTTGTTTCCAGCGCAGCTGCCACTCAGCACGTGCGCCAACGTGCAACGACGCCTGTGGCGGCTCTCTGTCTTCCTGCGTGTCCAGTCGTCCCAATCTCTTCGTTCTCCGTATCTCCTCCTTGCCTCGCGCGCCTCCTTTGTGGCTTCATCCCTCGCCGCCTTGCACGCCCTGCATCCCCAAAATGCGCTTCCGTCGTGGCGGGGCCTCTCATTCCCCGTTTCTTTTCCCCCTCTAGTATACGCCGGTGGTGTGCCCCGTGTCGCGTGTGGCGTCCGTGGCACCCGACCTGTTGTCTCACCCTGGCTCCAAAGATCGTTTTGGTCGTCACATTGTGACCCCCGACGTCGTCAAATGTCGCTCGCCTGTCCTTCCCCCTGTCCCACTGCCTGCTTGATTGAGGCTGGCTACAGCTGCCACTTCGCTCCACACAACCGTCCCGCCACCCCTGCCGTGTGCGATCCCGGCCTCACCGTCTTTCGAAGTTGTCCGCACACCCACTCGTGTGCGCTCTGGCGCATGTGCCCGTATGTCATTTTCCAAATGCGAATCATAATTCTTTTTGGAGTGGGCGGCAGAATTCTTTTTGGAGGTGCTGCACGTGCGGTCTGTCCCGTGCGCGGGACCATGTCCTGGAAGTCGAGCCTGCCTCCAGACCTTGTGCTCAAGCCAATGATTGAGTCTACCACCAAGGAGGTGCACAAGATGTTGGAGGCATTCAAGCGGCGCGAGCCGTGCAAGCTCTACTTCAACAGGCCGGTCAGCGCAACCGCCGGCGCTGACTTCATGCGCGGCTACCTGACCGTGATCAAGCAGCCAATGGACCTGGGCACGGTGACTCGCAAGCTCGAAGAAGACAGGCGCGCCCGCGCGCCCGCGTGTGCCCTCTCCCGCGCATGCGCCTGACGGCTCCGCCGGCCGCGCCACAGCAAGCGCCCGGCGGACGAGAAGCACTACCAGTTCCTCGAGGACTTTGCGTGCGACTGCCGGCAGATCTGGAAGAACGCCCTGGTGTTCAACGAGCCGCGCGGCAAGCCGGAGCCCAACAAGCCCGGCAGCCCGGCGTACATCTTTGACCACGCCTCGAAGCTGGCGAGCGACTTTGAGGCGAAGCTGGCGGAGATGCACCGCGAGCTGGAGAAGGAGGCGCCCCCGTGCCCGAGGTTGCTGCGCGCGAGGCTGCTCCTCGCCGACGTGCGCCGCTCCCCCTTCTCGGAGCACTACCGGCGCGAGAAGGACTGGCGGAAGTTGGGTGACGAGTACGTCGCCTTCCTGAGGGAGGAGATGAAGAGGCCTTCCGAGCCGGAGGACCTCGACTCGATCACCGACTGGCTGAGGAAGGTGCAGCGCCAGGCGGACGGCGAGGACGCGGGGCAGGCCGCCTGGCTCGTCGGCGAGGCCGGGCTCCGTCGAGCCGGAGGCGGCGGGCGGCAGGGCCCACTCGGATCCTTCCCGGAACCTTCCACGTAGGCGTGGCTCGCCGAGCTGAAGCGGCGGGTGGTGCGGGTCTGCGAGAACGCGCTCGCGTACAACCAGGGCCGCCAGGCGGCGGGGAAGTGCGCCAAGCACCTTAAGGAGGCCTTCGAGCTGCGGGTCGAGAGCATCCAGACGGCGGCGGAGCCTCCGCCGCGGGGCGCGAGGGCGGCGGAGCGCGAGGGCGGGCCGACGTTTGCGCAGAAGCGCGAGCTGCTGCGCGAGCTGCACGACCTGTCGCCCCTCGACCAGTCGCGCGTGGCGCGGCAGCTCGCCAAAGAGAGCCCGCGCGCGCTGAAGCCGCTCGACGGGCGCGAGGCAGGGTCGTCGAAGCGGGTGCGGGTAGAGCTCGATGAGCTCGACGCGGAGACGTTCGCGAGGGCGCGCGAGCTCGCCGAGGAGCGAGCGCGCAAGGCGGTGGAGATGGACTTGCAGGATGAATTAGAAGAGTACCCACAGTGACAGAAAATAATACACCAAAGTGTACACATAGTGTGCGTATAATAGTACTTGGTCTTGGATACTAGCACGTAGCGCAAGACGCGCGGGGAGGCCCCGCGGCCGCGCTGCTGGTGCCGCGCGGCGGCGAGTTGGCGGCGAGGCCGAGGGCGTGTGGCCGCGGTGGAAGGTGTGCGCGGGCTGGCTCCCTTCTCCCTCTACAGACTACACCGCTGCACCACCAGCGTCACTACCGGCCCTCACGGAGGGGGCCGCTGCGAGCATCACCCGGCGGCTCGCAGTCGGGAGTGCCAAGCCTCTCACGCGGCCCAAAGGCGAAGCATCGCCGGAGCCGATGACGATGACGACTGGGGCCTTGCAGAGCGGGCACATGTTTGGACCCTGGCCGCCGCCGCCGCGCCCGAGCAGCCACGTCTCAATGCAAGCCGTATGGTATCGGTGCCCACATGGCAGCGTGGTCGCCTTCTCTCCTTCGGCAAAAGCGCATAAGCAGATTGCGCAATCCTCGCCCGTCTCGCCCGCCGCACAGCTCGCCGTCGGCAGCGCTGCGACCGCCGTAGACAGCTCGAGCTCTGTGGCGCCGCCTCCGCCTCCGCCTCCGCTTCCGCCACCGCCTCCGCCACCGGCGCCACCGCTCGTGCCGCCGCCTGCAGCGCGGCGGCGCCTGCGCAGCCAGCGCCTCGCGAGGAGTGCGATCATCGCAAAGACCACCAGGCAGGAGAGGAGCGTGACGATTCGCGAGCCACCAAACCGTTCGGCCATCGTCGGGTCGCAGCACGCTCTGGCTGACGCGTCTGGCCGAGGACCGGCGGGCGGGGGCGGCGGGTTGGCGAGGCAAGCGTCGCTCGGAGCCCGCTCAAACTTGAACGCGTCGGTGACCCAATCTGCGGTGGGGAAGATAGGCTGTGTGGGGTGGTGGCGGACGGATGTGCGCTAGGAGGTGAGGGCTGTCGCAGTGCGCGCACAGCAGACGCTGCGGTCGCACTGGTCGGTCCCAGCGTTTGAGGAGACGACCTGCCCAAAGCCTTGGGCGAAGTAGAAGAAGCCGAGCGGGTTCCAGCCCCCGCCGTTATGTGACTGATCAATGAAGACGTGCGTGACGGTCGGGTCAGCCGGGCTACCATGCGTCAGAGTGATTGGGACGCGACTCGGCAGGTATCTCGAGCAGGACTCGCCGCCAGGGTGCCACTCGGAGACGGCGAAGCAGCCGGACGTGTTGCGGCCGCTCAAGGAGTAAACGGCGCTGACACGGCCCTTGTTCTGGCCATCGTCGTGGTGCCACGAAAGGCCTCCCCCGTTCGCATCTTCACAATACTTGTACGAGCCCGTCAACCAGCCGGTGCCGGTGACTCCCTCGCTACGGTCGTCGAGGATGAAAGAGTCAACCATCGGGAAACTTCGTGCGCAGGAAGAAATTTTAAACCGTTGGGCGCGCTCCTCACGTGCCGTTCTCCCATCCCTCCCTTGGGTTGTCTGTTTTCTTTTTTTTTTCCCCCCCCCCCCCCCCCCTCCCCCCTCCGCCGTCGCCGCCTCTCTCGTCGCGCCGCGCCGCGGCCCGCGCACGGCGCTCGTACAATGCGGATTGACAATGGAGAGTCACACACACTGTACAAGACCCGACGGTACAAGACTCGACTGTACAAGACTCGACACTACGTCTGAACGAGAAAAGGGCACACGGAGACGAGCGGACGAGAGGTCCGGAACCGGGGGACCAAAGCGCTCCCGAGTGACTAAGCAGGCAACGTACGCAGCGTGGCCCTTGGCAGCCGCGGGATCCGTCTCTCTCGCCCGCCGCCGCGCGCGGCGAGTTCGCGCAAGGTGGGACCTCCTAACAGAGGGCTGGGCTACTTGCAGGGCGTCTTGTTGAGAGCCTTCTCGGCGGTGGCGCACGGCGTGAAGCGCAGCGTCACGGTGCCCTCCTCCTCGACTTTCTCCATGCGGTACCCTGCCCGGCGAGGGAGCCACGCAAGGTGAGGCAGACCTCTCTCCGCTGCGGGCGGGGCCGCCGCACCGTCCCACTCGACCACGCCCTTGAGCTCCTTGGGCGCCGTATCCATCACCAGCTCGAGCGGGTAGGCGTACCTGGGCGGGGAGCGCGAGGGGCGGGCGGCGGTGTGGGAGCGGCGTTGGGGCTCGCGCCGCCGCGGGCGGGGCGGCGCGCCCAAAGTTGACCGAGTGGCGGAGGTGGTGGTCGGCGTGGAAGTTGTCTCCGTGCAGCGCGGGCTTGTCGGAGCGCGAGTGGAAGCCCCACCTGCGCGGCGGCGTCTCGCTCACGGCAGCCGCGTCGCACGCTGGGGCGAGGGTTCAGGCCGCAGCAAAGCACTTGTTGTACCACGAGACGCCGAGCACGTGGCCGCTGAGCGAGGCGGGCTGCAGGCCGAACCCGAGTCCGAGGGCGAGGTCGGACATGAGGATGAGCCACTCCTCGGGCGCTGGGGGCAGGGTGCGAGGGGCGGTGCCGTCGGAGGCGGGCGGAGGCGGGCTGGGGGGTGGGGAGGGGGCGGAGGGAGGCGGCGCCCCCCGACCCAAAGATGTGCGCGTCGAAGGGCGTGCAGTCGTGCAGGTAGTGGTGGAACTTGTGCGCGTCGTTGTAGACATTGGTGATGTGCCCCATCCTGTGGATGTGGTAAAAGTGGACCTGCCAGTAGCGCTCGAGGTGGCCGCTCACGCGGGCCGAGAGGCCGAGCGACGCGTCGAGCAGCCACGGCAGCAGCTCGAGCTCGAGGCCGAAGCAGGCGGGGAGCAGCACCAGGTAGTACGTCTTGCAGTTGAGGAAGCCGTACGCCATCGAGGCGAGCACGCGCCGCGTCGGCACGGGCTTGGGCGTGCCCTTTGGCGTCCAGCCGAGGCACACCGCGCAAAAGGCGTGGTCGACGAGGAGGAAGAGGGCGAGGAAGCGGGCGTCGAGCGTGAGCGTCGGGTTTAGCCACGGCGGGAGGGCGGCCCGCACGGCGAGGCTGAGGAGCGGGAAGACGAGGGCGTGGCCCGTGTAGAGGGTGAAGACCGTCTCGAGCCCGTAGGCGATGGCGACAAACGTGCTGTACGGCAGAAACAAAAACTGGAGTAGCGAGGCGAGGAGGAGGGAGGCGAAGGAGCCGCAGCAGGCCGCCACGACGGTGGTGCCCCGCGCGAGCCAGAAGAGGTACTGCTTGGTCATCGGCTCGGCGGGCACGCCGTGGCAGAGGCTGCCGATGTAGGCGTTCAGCTTGGACAGGCCGGAGGCGTAGAGCTTGGGGTACGACGCCGGGAGGGTGAGGTCGAACGCCTCGCCCTTGGCCATCCGCTGCGCGAGCGCCTGCTCATCGTACAGCTCGACTGGAAGGGATCTGAACGGCTCGAGGAGATACGAGAACCAGAAGCGAAAGAGCGCGGCGTTGCCGAGGGTGATCGAGCGCGCCCAGTCGGCGAGCGGGATCATGAGCGAGAAGCCTTGGTGGGTGAGCCAACAAGCCACGAACGTGCGACAGTCGGATTGAGGGGTACATACGGAGCTTTTTCTTTTCCCTGGCTTTTAAAGTTTATTCCGGCCCAAAAATGCTAGTGTGCTATGCCATTTGTGTGGTGCAAGACGGGGGGGCCTTTTGTAAGAGGCGCTTATTGAATTCTTTTTCGTAAATTTAGAAAAACCGGCCCGGGCTGAAAAAAACCGAGAAACCCCCCCCCCTTAAAAGTCGGGCTCAGTACTTTCTTTTTTGACTTTGACGAGGCTCACATCAACGAATTCGCGGCAGCCGAACGAATGGCGTACATCCGCCCTCCCTCGATGGACGAGAGGCTGGAGAAGGATTACCTCGCGGCCGCGCACTGGGCGACACTGCGGGAGAAGGCGCGCCGCCAACCAGCGCGCAACCACCTCGCGGCGGGTACGCAGCGGCCCCTGTCTTGACAGGCGGTCGAGGAGGCGGCGGCCGGCTACAACATATCGACCGACGAGTACCTCGCAGCAATGGACCTGAACGCCTCCACCATGTTCCAAGCGCGCCCGGCTCTGATGGATGCGATGGAAGCGGATTACATGCGAGCCCCGAGTCGCTGCACCCGTGAGCCTCCGGTTTGGCCCTCACGGCCCGCGCCCGCTCGCCAGGCACGCCTTCATCATCGCCGACACGCGAGAGGCCAAGAGGCGGGAGAGCGTCGAGGACAACACGTCCCGCGCGGACAAGTGGGCCTTGCGATGCATGATGGCGTGATGCGGCTTTGGCGCATTGGCCCGGGGACAGCGATTGGGGACTGGCGCCTCCGTCACCCCGCCCGAACAGTCGTTGCCCGAGCGTTCACGTGGTCGGTGCTGGTAGTCAGCGCACGACCGTTGTCGACCGTTCGCCGTGCTCGCTCCCTTCTGTTCCTGGTCGGACGGGAGCATCTAGAGCTCTGGCCACTCTCGGAGTACGGAGAGTGCGCATCTCACACAAAACTCACTTTGTGACTTATCCTACTCACTTCACCACTCACAAACAAACTCTCACCAACTTACATCTGGCAGCTGGCTGTCACCAGCTGTCACCAGCTGTCACCAGCTGTCACCAGCTGTCACCAGCTGTCGTTGCTGCTGTCGGTTGCTGCTGTCGTTTCGCAGCCGCTGTCACGACATATTGACCACGTCGCGACCGTTGACGTGAACTCCATATGTCACCTAGCATCTCACAACTTGCAACAACAACAACAACAACATGTACATGTGTGCATGCCACATGTCCATGTGCACGTTCTGCGAGTGAAAGCTCTTGGGACTTGGCTCTTGCGGCGACTTTGTTCCGACGCGGGTGCGGCGCGTTGAGTCGCGCGCACACGTACAAGGCCAGGGGTCTGTGGATAAACTTATCGTTTTCTCTGTTTCCCCAACGGCAGTGCTCCGGTGCACAGAGCGCGAGTGGCTAAAGCTCGCCACTATAGGTGGCGTTGGCCACCAGAATGCACGCCGCTGCTATTCCGGACGAGCTCGTCGAGCTGTCTGCCGAGCTCGAGGCGCTTGGCGGCGGTGACACCCGCGTCGGCGAGGCCACCGTCTTCTGCCGCGTCCGGCCGGTCGAGCGCGCCTCCGAGGCACCCATCGTCACAGTCGGCAGCTCTGGCTCACACATGCTTGTGCGCGACCCGCGCACGTCGGATACGACGCCAGCGGCGCACGCGGTGCGTCGCTTTCGCATCTCTCCCGGCGGTGCCATCGGCGGGGCGGCGGCCCTGGCGGCGCCGGTGGGAAGGGGCGCGACGCAGAGCGATGTGGCCGCCAGCGTCGGCCGCGAGGCACTCGAATGGTGGCTGGCGGGCTTCAACGCGAGCGTCATCGCGCACGGCCAGACGGGTGCGGGCAAGACCTACTCCCTCTACGGTCCCGCCGCCGCCGTGTACGCCGAGTCTGTGCCTCCCGACGCGATGGGCCTCGTGCCGCGGCTGCTCGGCCGGGTCTACGAGGCGCGGCGGAGAGACGCCCTTGCCTCCCGCCACGCCCGCCTCTACTCCACCCACACCCTCCTTCGCACCCGCTCCGCCCGGAGCCCCAAGAACACCACCCGCCGCCACCCGCCGCCAGCGTTGCCACCGCCGAGCCTCTTCCGCCATCACCAGCACCTCGCCCCGCCTCCACCGCCTCCTCCAGGCGATTGAGGCGGCAGCGACGAGCGAGGACGGCGCGCCTCGCCTCTCGCTCGGCGTCTCCTGCTTCGAGGTGCGCCACGCCAGCGTCGTCGACCTCCTCGCGCCCGAGCAGCGCGGCGGCGGCGGCGGCGGCGGAGGAGGAGGAGGGCGCGCGGCCGACGACTTTGTGGCGGTGAGCGCTCCCGAGCTGAGCGACGCGCTCTCGCTGCTCGCGACGGCGCAGCGGCGCTCAGCCAACTGGTCCGTCGCGCCGGGCGGCGCCGGAGGGCGGCCCATGTTGGTAGCAACGGCCGGCCGTGCGAGCGTGGTGCCGCGGCTGACGCTTGTGCGTGATGTGTGACACGACTTGCTGCACAGCGTGGCTCTCCTACAGGTGCTGCGGCTGACCCTGCACGACAGCGAGCGGCGCTCGGCGGCGACGCTGCACGTGGTGGACCTGGTCGGCACTCTGCCGGCCGCTTCGGCGGCGGCCGGCGGCGGCGGGGTTGACCTCGAGCGGCGCTGCCTCGCGCAGCAGGTGCTCAGCTGGACCCGGCTGCTCGCCGAGGTTGCGCAGCTCGACGCGTCGGCAGGGACGGGCGGGCTCAAGACGGCGCGCGAGTCCAAGCTGACCCAGCTCCTCGCGCCCCTCCTCTGCGGTGGCTCGCGCACCTTCCTGCTCGCTTGCGTGCGCGCCGGCGCGAGCCACTTTCTCGACACGTGCAGCACGCTGCGCGTCGCCTCGCGCGCGCTCTCGATCCGCACGGCTTGCATGCGCGCTCTGGAGGTGCGGCGGCCTCGGCCTGCCGCTGTCCTGCGGGGCTACCCCTCAAGCCGGCTCCCCCCGCCGCAGGTCTCGTACGGCGACCTCGGCTTGCTCCCTACCGCGGCCGTGCTGCCGCTGCCTCCTCTGCAGTGGGAGGCCTCGCCGCCGCGCTCGCCGCCGCGCTCGCCGCCGCGCTCGCCGCCACTGTCGCCGCCCCGGGGCAACGGCTGCGGCGGACCGTCGGGCAGCGGCGATGAGGACGGCGAGGGTCGCTGGTCGCGCCGGTGCAGCGCGCCCGCCCGCCAGGCGAAGCACCGCGCCACGCCGAACCGCAAGCGCCGCCAGGCTGCGCACGGCGGCGACGCGGCGAGAGGGACGAGGGCGGTGGTGAGCGAGGTGGGCGAGGAGGAGCTCGACGAGGCGCAGCTGAGCGGCAGCGAGGGCGGCGGCGGCGTGGGTGTGCGCCGCCCTCGGCGCGACGACGCTGCGTACGAGGAGGAGCTGTGCGTGGGGTGGGGCGGGGAGGAGGAGGGGTGGGGCGGGGAGGAGGGAGGGCACGAGGAGGGAGGGCACGAGGAGGGGGGGCACGAGGAGGGGCTGTACGCGGAGCTGCGCCGCCGCGAGCAGGAGCTGCTGGCTGCCCGCAGGCGTATCGAGGAGGCGTGGCCAGACCGGCGGCGAGGCGGGCGGGGCTCGGAGGCCGCGACGTCGGGCGGGGAGGGGGAGGAGCAACCGGCGGAGCCTGAGGCAGCGGCGGGGGTGGGGGCGGAGGAAGGGTCGGCCGAGGAGGAGGACGTGCTGTCGGGTGGTAAGGACCGCCACGCGAACGGCGGCGCGGCGGTCCGGCTGGCGGAGGAGAGGCGCGGACCTCCGGGCATCTCGTGGGCGTCGGAGGACGTGTCGGAGGCGCTTCGGCTCGAGGTGAGCGACATGCTAGCCAGGCTGAGCGTGGCCGCGGGGCGCGCCTCCGTGCCGGGCAGCGCCGCCGCGCCTGGCGAGGCGGCCGAGCAGGAGGCGGCAGAGCAGGTCGTGGTGGCCCAGGAAGCCAAGCAGTGGGTGCGCGCTGAGCTCAAGCGGCGCGTCGACGAGCAGCTGGCTGCCCGCCGGTCGGCCTCAACGGCGCCACCCTCCTCCGCCACCCCCTCCCCCGCCGCCGGCGACGAGCCCCTCCCCTCGTACTCGGCACAGCACGCGAGCAGCACCGCGCGCTACGCCAGTCGACCGCGCGCCAACGGGCGCGGCGAGGCCAACGCCGCCCCGAGGTGTGCGGCGCGAGGCGCGGAGGACGAGACGCCGGCGGCGGCGGACGCGTACGGCGAGGCTGGTGCGAGTGAGGCGGACTCGAGCGACGGCTCCGCGAGTGGGCACGGCGCGGTGGCGGCGGCGGCGGCGGGCGCGGCAGCGGGCTCGGCGGCGAGGCGGCGCGACGACGTGCAGTGCGAGAGCTACGAGACGGTGCTGGGCATGCTCAAGGAGGCGGACGAGGCTCGCTGGGCGGAGCACCGTCGCGTGGAGGCTTCCTCTTTCCCTGAGGCGGAGGTGCGGTGGTGCGCGCGCCCCCTGTTCACCGCGCCTCTCGCCGCCTTGGACAGGAGCTCAAGCTGGAGATGAGGGAGGCTGCCGCGGCGCAGGCCGTGGCGCTGCAGGACGCGAAGATGGAGGCGCTCGTGCTGAGCAAGAAGCTGCGCCGGCTCGAGGCGGGTGGCAGCCACGCCTCGCTCTTTGAGGTGTACGAGGAGGAGAGCCGCCGGCGCCGGAGGGGCGGGCCGACCCCTCGTGGCGCGTCCTCACCGACGACGGCTGTGTTTGGTAGGAGCTCGCGGCGAGCCAGGCCGAGGCTGCGAGGCAGCGCGTCGTGGTCGGCGAGCTCGAGTCGGCCGTGCGCGATCTCCGCCTCGAGATCGAGACGTTGCGCGCCGTCGCCGCCGAGGCGGGCGACCCCGCCTTGCGCGTCGCCGGTAGTGAGGGCCTCGCTAGCGGCGCGGTGGACGTTTTGGCCGAGGGGCGTGCCGCGAAGGTGCGTTCCTGGAAGCGCGCGCTCGCCATCGCCGACAAGGAGCGGGCGGTTCTGCGCGCGGAGCTCGCCGGGTTGCAGAAGCGGATCCGGCACGCCGACTTCCACCGGCGCGCGGCCGAGGACTCGTCGCGCAAGCTGCTCAAGGCGAGCCGCGAGACGGAGCGCTTGACGGCGCGTCCTCTGGCTTCGCCGCCCCGCCGGCTGGTCTCTTCCGGATGGCTCGCGCGGCTTGCTCTGGATAGGCCGAGCTACGCGACGCGCGGCTGGCGCAGTCTCAGGCGCAGGCCGCGCTCCTCCCCGCGGAACGGGAGCGAGAGGCGTTGCGCGACACGTGCCGCCAGCTCGAGGAGCAGCTCCAGCTCGCCCAGGCGGCGAAGCGCGAGCTGCAGTTCGAGCGGCGCAGGGACGAGCTTCGGCTGCGCCACCCGCGGTGAGATCCCGACCTCCCCCTGACCCGCCCCACGCCGCTTCGACGCGCAGCACCTCGCACGGCCCTCCGCCTCTACCCTCCTCCCGCCCCCGGCTCCCCAGGCTCAGCGAGGCTTCGCGCTCCTCCCCGCGAGGACGCGGCGGCGGCGGCGCGGCGGCGCGGCGCGGGTCGACGTGCGAGCTGCTGCGGCTGCTGGAGGCGGAGCTGGGGACGACGGGCGTGCGCGTGCTGCCGAGGGTGCACGTGTTGCTGCAGCGCGCGCAGCGCGAGGCGGGCGCGGAGGAGGAGGCGCGACGCGAGGCCATGGCGCGCGAGGAGGAGCTCATGCAGATACTCGTCGACGAGCAGCTGACCAGAGGCGGCGGCGGGGTGGGCGCGGCGCCTGCAGCTGCGAGGCCGTCCATCAAGGCCTAGCGCCGGCGACGCCCCCCTTATTTAGGCTTACACTGATGACGTATGATTTTTTAATTTTTGATCCACCTCTCTAACCACGACGGGACGGCTCTATCTACGGGGTGTGGACCCTGAGTTGACCAGGGGTTGTGCGCCGGGCCCTCCTGCTCGGCTCCAGCCGGTAGACAAGTCTTGTCATCAAGAGAGTAGATGGATCTGACCTCGGGGCCGATGTGACCAAGCGCTGGTAGCGTGGTTTTACCTCCCCCCCATGGTCTCAGCTCTCACAGTGTGCCGGCAGTCGCCGAGCAGTGTCGCTCACACAAGCCGCAGCACAAGTGACTGAGGGCCAGTGAGGGCGAGCCCATCGCTGTCACAGCTGTGGCAGCCGCACAGTAGGCTGTGTCAGCTGTGCAGAGTGTGTGAGCAGCAGAGGAGCTGCTCTCCAGGCTTCTGTCGCAAAGAGCTGCATGCCACCGAAAGCGCTGTCGAGGTTCGCCGAGCGCGGCGCAGGTTGGAGGAAGCCGTCACCGACGAGCGCGTTGGAGTATTCACTCCGGACAAAGACGGGCACACAGCGGACGGTGCGGGGCGTGTGCCCGTCATAGCGGCGAGGCGCGGGACCGTCTGTGGCGAGGTGGGTCGCGTCCTCCGATTTCCTCAACTCAGGGTCCGCTCCCTCTACTGACGACTCTGTGTATATGCTGTATCTCCACGAGATCGTTATATATAGAGAGAGAACTCGCAGCGCTCCGTGTCCGACGTCTTAGAGAGCCGTACGGCTCTACGTACTGTATGCTGAGGGTCCTGAGCGAGTACTAACACGTACACGACGTAACGCGAATCGTCTCACAATCATCTAGCTGAGACGATAGTCAATAGAGAGGCCGTCAGTGACTCACAGCCCCAGCCTGGACAGGGCGTTGTAGAGCGGCATGCTCGCCTCGAGCTGGTTGTAGTACACCTCCGCCGCGAGCTGCTGGAGGGCGATCGAGACGGTGGGGTACGCGTGCATGATCGAGGCGAGGGCGGGCAGCTTGACCTTCCCCGCCATCGCGACCGATATCTCAGAGATGAGCTCGCCGGCAGAGGGGCCCATCACGGTGGCGCCGAGGATGGCGCCCGACCTTGGCTCGTACACAACCTTGAGGAAGCCGAGCGAGGCCTCGCCCATCGTGACGGCGCGGTCCACCTGCCCCATCCGCCGGTACGCCACCGCCACGCCGCCCGCCTTGCCCTCCGCCCGCGCCTCCGACTCGGTGAGCCCCACCTGCGCGGCGGCGCCAACAGGGAGCGTGTGTGTGCAGGGGCAGTGGGTGGGGCCCATATCTCCCCGTATCTCCCCGTATCTCCCCGTATCTCGCTCGGGGGGGGGGGGGGGAGGGGGCGTCTGCCCACCTTCGCAACCTCGGGCGAGGTGAAGACGCAGCCAGGCACGCGGCTGGTGGCCACGCCTTGGTCGCTGAGCGGCAGCAGGATGTTGCGCGCGGCGATGGCGCCCTGGAAGCCGGCGTAGTGCGTGTACTGCTGGTCGCCGGTGCAGTCGCCGGCGGCGTAGACGCCCTAGCGGCAGCAAGCTGTGTGACCCTCTCGGGCGGTGGCGGCGGCGGCGGGGGGGAAGGGGTGTGGGTGGGGTGTGGGGTGGGGTGCGCGCCTTGACGGTCGTGCGCAGCTTAGCGTCGACAGCGATGCCTCCCGTGGCGGCGCTGAGCTCGACGCCGAGGGCAGAGAGGCCCAAACCTGTGGCACGTGTCGGACGCTGCCACGGACGCTGCCACGGACGTGTCCACCGTCCATGAGAGGAGGAAGGGGCGGGGCGGGGGGGGGAGAGGGGGTGCGGCTGGTGCGCCTTCGGTGACGGGCACTCTGCCGACGGCCGAGAGGAGGGCCGTCCCCTCGACCACGCTGCCGTCCGAGCAAGTGAGGGCGTGCCCGCCTCCCGCGCGCGCCTCCACTGCCGCGGCACGCGCGGCGACCAGCGCCACGCCGTCCGCACGCAGCGCCGCGGCGAGGTCGTCCGACGCCTCGGGCTCGTGTCTGCGGGGGGCGAGGCTCCATCTCGGCTATCTCTCGGCTACATCTCTGTGCGTGGGCAGGAGGCGAGGCTGCATCTGGGCCGATCTCTCGGCTACATCTCCACGCCCGGGCAGGAGGCGAGGCGCGACGAGGGTCACCGACGAGCCGAGCCGCGCGAAGGCCTGGGCAAGCTCGCACCCGACCGGGCCTAGCAGTAGGAGGGGCTGCTGGGGGGTTGGGAGAAGGGCCCGGGAGGCGGAGGAGCACAGCCCGCAGCCGACCGCGCCTCCTCCGACGACCGTGAGCCTCTCTGGCAGCGTGTCGAGGCTGAAGATGCCTTCGTAGCTTAGGGTTAGGGTCAGGGTCAGGTCAGGGTCAGGGTGAGTGTCGAGGCTGAAGATGCCTTCGTAGCTTAGGGTTAGGGTCAGGGTCAGGTCAGGGTCAGGGTTAGTGTCGAGGCTGAAGATGCCTTCGTAGCTTAGGGTTAGGGTCAGGGTCAGGTCAGGGTCAGGGTTAGTGTCGAGGCTGAAGATGCCTTCGTAGCTTAGGGTTAGGGTTAGGGTCAGGTCAGGGTCAGGGTTAGTGTCGAGGCTGAAGATGCCTTCGTAGCTTAGGGTTAGGGTCAGGGTCAGGTCAGGGTCAGGGTGAGTGTCGAGGCTGAAGATGCCTTCGTAGCTTAGGGTTAGGGTCAGGGTCAGGTCAGGGTCAGGGTGAGTGTCGAGGCTGAAGATGCCTTCGTAGCTTAGGGTTAGGGTCAGGGTCAGGTCAGGGTCAGGGTGAGTGTCGAGGCTGAAGATGCCTTCGTAGCTTAGGGTTAGGGTCAGGGTCAGGGTCAGGGTCAGGGTGAGTGTCGAGGCTGGAGATGCCTTCGTAGCTTAGGGTTAGGGTCAGGGTCAGGTCAGGGTCAGGGTGAGTGTCGAGGCTGAAGATGCCTTCGTAGCTTAGGGTTAGGGTCAGGGTCAGGTCAGGGTCAGGGTGAGTGTCGAGGCTGAAGATGCCTTCGTAGCTTAGGGTTAGGGTCAGGGTCAGGTCAGGGTCAGGGTGAGTGTCGAGGCTGGAGATGCCTTCGTAGCTTAGGGTTAGGGTCAGGGTCAGGGTCAGGGTCAGGGTGAGTGTCGAGGCTGGAGATGCCTTCGTAGCTTAGGGTTAGGGTCAGGGTCAGGTCAGGGTCAGGGTGAGTGTCGAGGCTGAAGATGCCTTCGTAGGTGAGGTGAGGCACGGAAGCGATGCCGCGGATGTCGAGCGGGCGGGGCCGAGCACCTGAGGAGCGGGCTCTCCGGTCCGGGAGACGGCGAAGGGAGTGCGAGGCAAGGTAGGCCTCTCACCCGTCGCCAGAACGACGCCCTTGGTGGCCTCGTAGACGGTGGCAGTGCCACCGCCGCCACTGCTGACCGAGACACGCCGAGCGTCGACGAGTGTCGCCGCGCCACTCACCGTCTCGATACCCAGCGCGCGCAACGCCTCGGGCGAGTCGTCTGCATCGTAGATCTGGCCGATGGTGCGGCCGATCCGAGCCTTGACTGCAGCCATGTCGACAGATACGGTCGCCGGCTGCGCCACGCCGAACTCGGCCGCCGTTCGCAGGGCGTGGGCCCGCTCCGCCGACGCGAGGAGCGTCTTGGACGGCACGCAGCCTGTCCACGTGCAGTCGCCACCGAGCCGCTCTCGCTCGATCAGAGCAACACTCTTGCCAAAGCGAGCTGCGAACTTGGCAGCCGTCAGGCCCGCGGAGCCACCACCAACGACGAGCAGATCGAACGACGTTGGCCCAGCGAGCGAACCGCCGGGAAGGAGGTGGGCGAGGGCCATCATGACGGCTTCAGCCAACAGTCGCGACACGGTGGGTGTGAAGTCCCCCCCCATCCCCAGGGCCTCCAGGGCTCGCACCTCAACCTCTCACAGGCCAGCGCACAGCGCCATAGGAGGTATTTTCTTCTCAATAACAAGGCTGTGAACAGGGCTCGCACCTCAACCAGTCCTCAACCTCTGACAGACCAGCGCACAGCGCCATAGGACGTATTTTCTTCTCAATAACAAGGCTGTGAACGTTCATGACTGTCTCTCAGCGATTTCGGGCCCGGGCTTGTGCGTTTATGTGAGGAACGTTCATGGATCATGGTCTCGCTCGTCGCTCCTCGGACCTCGCGCCAGTGCGACGTCCCGCAGTTAATAGAGATGGCTAATCACGCGCCGCCCCTCGCGCACGGCCCCGCGAGTGAGTCAACGCATCCCCCACGGGTTGTTGGCCAGCACCTGGTACAGCGGGTGGTACACGCCAACCACCTACAGTCACCGGGCTCCGTGTCAGCACGAGAAGAGGAGGCGCGTGTCTCGTCGATTCGGCCGTCAGCACGTCACGAGCGATGCCAAGTGCCTCGCGGCAGAGGACTTTCGCCTCCTCCTCGCGGCCGAGCTGGAAGAGCAGAGTGGAGAGGCCTAAGGGAGAGCCCACACTGCCTCAAAACGTTGACGCCACACACAGACCGCATGCGAGCGAGGCGGCTGCAAACCTTGCATGGCGTTGAGGGCGTGAGGGTGCCGGCTGCCGACGGTAGACCGCAGCACCTGAAGCACCTCGCGGTAGAGCGGCTCGGCTCCGGCGATGTCGCCCTTCGCCTTAGGTGGAGGAGAGGGAGGGGGTTGACCGAGGGAGAGAGAGGGTGACGACAACCGGCCACACGCCACGCCTTGAGCAGACCCGCGAGGTTGAAGGTCGAGTTGAGGGTGTCCTCGTGCGAGGCGCCGAGGACGTCGCGGCGGGCGGCGAGGGCCTCGCGGTAGAGCTGCTCGGCCTCCTCCAACTCGCCACCCTTCTTGAGGACGAGCCTGCTCGCAGCACGAGAGGGGCGTGAGAGCCCGAGGCGATGTTGGCGGACTTGCCAAGGGGAGTCGCGCGCCCCAAGTTGTTGACCGACGTGAGCGTGCTCGGGTGCCGATCGCCGAGCGACCCGCGGCTCACCTCGAGAGTCCGACGTAGGAGGGGAAGCGCCCCGCCCAGGTCGCCCCCCTCGAGCATCGCCATCGCGAGGTTGTTGGTCGCATCGCACGCCATGTCCGTCACGCGCTCGTCCACACCGCCGTGGGCAGCCGTTGGAAGCGAGCGCAGCCCGTGCCGGTACAGCGCCTCGGCCTCGGCGTAGTGGCCCTGGTCAGCGAACTCTCGCGCCATTTCGAGGGCGTTCGAGAGGCTGATGGAGCCAAAGTTGTCGCGCTGCGCGCGCGCCGCTTCGGCTATGAGCTCGATTGAGAGCTGGTCCCGATACCGCTGCTTGCACTGGCCACACTCGATCGCCGCGTCGATATTCACACTGCTGCGGCGCCAGCGGGTGAGGCACTCACGATGCGCCCACGCCGATGTGCCACGGCATGAGCATGGCTGCGAGAGAGGGCAGTGAGGCGCCGCCGGCTCGAAGCAAATGCGACAAATGGGCACGTCGGCGCTTTCTCCTGTCGTACGAGTCACGTTATGCAGCCTGACGGAAAGGTTTGCGCCCGTTCCAATCAGCTGGACGGGGAGTCGCATGTTGCCGCCGAGCCGGCCCGTCACAATAGCCCGCTGCCCATTCAACTCTTGTCGATTAAGCGAATGGAGGCTGACCAGCTCGCCAGCCACTGGTGCTTCGGCGGCGGGGAGTGCATCGGACATGCTCACTCACCGGGGATTGCAAATGAGGTCCCCCAAAAAAATTTATTGACGCGGGTTGGGCGTCCCCGGCCCGTTTTGGACTCGAAGAAGAGCAAAAGGAAAACGGGGTCTAAATATACTGCTAATAATGCCCCCTGGCCGCCATAAAAAACCTGGGGAAGAATATACCGGCGATGCACATAATATACACGACCACTTAACGGCCACTAAGTCTGTGTACCCGGCGCATACGGTGTGCTGGGTTTGGCTCTACGAAGGTCGTACGCGAAAGCGGTGCAACGTCTGCCGCTCGCCGCCCACCCGAGCTGCACTCTTGATCAACTCGAACTCCGGGAGAGGGAACCGCTGGCCTCGTCCTGGTACCTCATAGAATAGCATGTTGGGGTCGTCCGGGCCTTTCGGCTGCATTTCTGACGGGTCTGTTGGCGTGCCGTCTCGCCTTGCGCTAGACAGCGTGGCACCATCGTCCAAATTGCACGGAATCTCCATGGGGATTGGGCACCTGTTCTCTTTCAGGGCACTCGTCCAACGGGCGAGGACATGAGCGGCCCGCTGCGCGGCTACCGGATCGAACAGTTCTGATGGCCAGTGGTGCAGATGGCCGATCGTAGCGTGGAGGGTTACAGGAGAGGTCGCTGGCGCAAGTCCGCGAAGCGCAGTGAGACTGTTGGCCGGATCTGTGAAAGTGACCACCATGCTGCCATCCGGTGTGACCGCCGCTCCCATCAGCCGCAAAATGGGCGGTGGTCCTGCGGTCAGGGTGGCGGCGATGGTACCTGCAAGCTGCCTCAGTTCGCCAGTGCTTTTCCCCGGAAAGCGAGCAACCTCCATGTGCAGCGAGGACGAGTTTACCCACCGCACGGCTTGCTGGAGGCGTTTGCGTTCTCGCTTGGCTGGCAACGCCGTCACGAGCTCATCCACAAACGGCACGAAGACGCGCCTGCGCAGAACGTCCACTGCAACGCTACTGCAGTGCTTGCACTTGAGGAATGCAGCAAGGCGGGCGTCCCCAGAATCGTCTGGGGCGAACTCGTCTCGCCATTCAGCCTCAGCACTTGGCCACCCTCCAGTGCCAAGACTGCACCCAGTGCCCCCACAGCTCACGCCCTCCTGGACAGCATGTAGCGTGTGCATCTGGATCACAAACGGCTGGAACTCTTCTGGCGTGGTGCGCAGCTTTTGAAGGGCCGACACAGACTCATCCAGCCGCTCGACACCCCATGCGTACATGAAGAGGCACGCGACGAAGGACGATGAGGCGCAGAACGTCCACCTCAGCAGCTCAAGGCAGCGCATTTTGTCGCGATGATGGGGTGGCAGGCGAGTCCGGGACGCCTCCTTCTAATACCCTTTGTCTGGGACTCGAGAGTCGAGTCCGGGACGAAAACTCGTTATAATAAAACTAGCAGACCTTGCGCGCACGCGCGCCAAATTTGTTTTTCTGTCTGCAACAACAGCCCGAGGGGTGAAATGTCTTTGTTGTCTCTGTAATGAAGGGCCCGCCGCTCCGCCTACGCCGGCGATGACCCTCTCGGCAGAGCGACATCGCGAGCACCGGGCAGAGAAGGACGCAGAAGCGGTTGGATGGAGAGGCAGCCGGCGCACGAGGAGAGGCAGCCGATGGAGCCGACGAGGTGAGTAGACACGAGTTTACCATTCTGCCCGGGGGGGGGGGGGCGCAAGCCCTCCCCACCACTGCTACTCTGTACTGCATGCAACTCAGCAGTGGTCGCAAGCGTCCCAAAGGGCAGGGAGGCAGCCTCGCGCGCTGTCGAACGCCCCCCCGGCCCAAACAGAGGCATCACAATCATGCTCTGGCCAGCGTCTGGGGGGTCGGCATTGCGCAACACACGCCGCAATCAGCCTGAGAGCAGATGATGGGGTGGGCGCGGGTGGACGAGAGTGGAGCCGAGTTGAGTGGGAGAGGGAGCACGCACGTGCAGCGGTGCCGAGAGTGGGTTGAGATGGCACCGCCTGCGGCCGCCCGGGCGGCGACGGCTTGCGCAGGTATGTTGTTCATGTCCTTATCCGCCGCCGCTTGGCTGCAGCAGCCAATGACGCCGCCCGCCTTTGCGAAGGGGCGTCTGGACGCGCTTGGCGGTTGACGCCGGCCCGCCACTGCGCCTCGTTCGCGTCCACCTCCGTCGAGGTCGACGCGTCGAGATCGGAGCGCATCACCGAGACGCCAGAGCCCGCCTTCGCCGACATGATTCGCGGCCGGAGAGCTCGGTGAGTGGTGCCGTCGCCCGAAACGGAAAACCGGCCGCGGGGAAATATAAGGTAAGATGGGAACCGTGACACGGGATGCTCGCATCCCTCCCCTGGGTTGTCTGTTTTCTTTCTTTCTTTCTGCTGAGCGAGGGCTTGTATGTGTGCATGGAGTACAGTGTAGTGTCCACTAGCTCCGTCCGAGTAGAGGGGGCGTTCTGAAGTTACGGCTTTAATTGAGGGGAAACCCGGTACACGGGTCCAACCCCCTCGCGCCTCGGTGCTCGGAGACCCGTGCTTACTTTATGGCCCTTCGCTGCGAACGCGCACCCCCCACACAGGGCTAGGGCTCTAGCCCGTAACCCGATACCGATCATCTGGCCCGCTCTCTGGGTGCGCTTCGCTTCTTACTCTATATAGCTCCTCGGCCACGTTCGCGGTTCGGCCCTGCCCCCCTGGATGTGAGCGGTTACCGACCAGCGACCTGGGGGCGACGCTCTTGCACTCCAAGCGTGCGCTCCAAGTGCAAGCCCCCAACGCCTCGAGCCCAACGCACGAATCAACGGAGACAACGTTGCAGGCGGCGCTCACAAGAAATTTAATGATATTACACTGAGAAAGAGAGCTAGACGGTGCTGCTTCCTCTGACGCCGGCGCGCTCCATCCATCGGCATCTCATCTCCTGCGACAGCCAGGCGACGTGGTTCGGCCTCGCCGCGGCGAGCGTGTACCCGCGCCTCGAGAGGGAGCGGAAGAGGCGCTGGGTGAGCGTGGGCGAGCGCTGCAGCAGGATGTTGGACTCGAATATCACGAGCCGCGGCCGGAAGCCGGGCAGCGCCAGGAAGGCGCGCAGCACCTCGCCGTCGAGCCCCTCGAGGTCGAGGGCGAGCACGTCGACGGCGTCGGCGGAGAGGCCCGCCTCGCGCAGCAATGCTTGCGGCGTGAGGCAGCGCACGCGCAGCGTCTCGACGTACCGAGCCGCTTCGCCCGTCCGCCACCTCTTGCGCGTCACGTTCCGAGGCTTTGCAAACCAGAGCCCGCGATGCGTGTTGTTGTACGAGAGCGAGTTGATCTCGCCTCGCGCCCACAGCGGCGAGTCGGGATAGTCCCGCGCATAGGCCTCCGAGACGGCGTAAAAGGGGACGGTCCCGCTCTGCGCGGGGCAGACCGCCGCCTGCACCGTCCGGTGCACCTTCCGGTCGCTCCGCTGGCCCGCCGCGGCGCGCTCCAGCTCGCGGTAGGCCGTCGGGTTGGGCTCCACGAGCAGCGTCAGGAGGTCCGGCGCCGCCAGCAGCCGGGTAAGCGCGCGACGGCCAGACTCGCACATGTCGTTTAGCCGCGACGCGTCGAAGTCGCCCACGTTGCTGCCAATGTTGACAACGAGGAGGCGGCCGGCGCAGCCGTCGGCCAGCGCTCGGAGGCCGTGCTCCCATGCGACCAGCGCGTCGCACGCCATGCAGTCTGCGGCCCGACGACGGCTCGGAGTGGAGGGCTGGACCTTCTCGAGTACTCGCTCCCCGGCGCCATTTTCCTCTCTTTAAAAAATAAAAACAGGAAACGGTTTCTTTTCGTTCTTCGTACGGGCCATCGTCCGGGCCATGCAAGAGCAGCTGCTCAAGAGCAGACTGATGAGGCTGGCCGTCCTCTGCCTCTGCCTCGTCGCCATTTGTCCTGCTGCGGCCGTCGCCACCCGTGGCGAGGCGTATCGCCTCCAGCGCCTGCAGCGCCAGCGCGCCCGAAGGAGCGCGCCGCCGCCTCCTGTCGCCGTCCCCGCACAAGCCGGTGCCGCCTGCCCCCGGCCAGCCGTGCGCTCCACGTCGTACTTTTACGTGCAGCCCGATAACTCACGCCTCGGGCTCTCCGTGGTCTGCGTCCGCTCCGGGGCGCGCGGCCTCGTTTTTCTCGACGAGGCTGGCTACCTGCGTGAGCCAGCACAACCGGGAGACGTGCGGCGCGGGACGGTGCTCCGGGCGCGTGAGGACGGCAGGCTGGACGTCTCGTTCCGGGAGTATGGCGCCCGCGCCAAACTGGTGTCCGCAGAGTCCACCATCCTTGACGCGCTGCTGGCGGCGCCCGACCACTCGCTGCCTCTCGGCGACAAGTCTCCGCCTACCGAGGCGAGTCCCCTCCTGCCTTGCCTGTCCTCGGCTTTTCTCCGACAGACTCAATCTCGCCCACTCGCATCGACCTCTTCCCGCCTCTCCACCCTCCCCGACCGACTTCCGCCGACCTCTCGGCCTCCCCCGACCTCTCGGCTCCCCCCCGACCTCTCGGCTCCCCCCCGACCTCTCGGCTCCCCCCCGACCTCTCGGCCTCCCCCCGGCCAGGTGCAGCGCTCGCTCGGGCTGTCCAAGAAGGCGTTCAACGGACGCGCCCGGGCGGTGTCAGACGCGTCCACGACACGTCCTTCCTGGGTCGCGTAGGTCTTCAAGGATGCCCTCGGCGGCCTCTTCAAGCGCGGCCTCCTCGCCCGCACGCGCGAGCCGCGAGCCACGCGCCTCGCAGAGGGCGCCTCGTGGCCTGCAGACCTGCCGCGCCCCGCGCCAGACCCTCCCACCCTGCTGCTCGACGTGCCCGCGGCAATGGCAGAGCCGCAGGGCGCTTCGCGCCTGCTGGCGTTGCTCGAGCCCGTCGCTCCTCCTCTCTCCATCACCGGCACTCGCCGCCCCTCCGGAGCGCCGAGCCGTCTCGCGAGGCTCGAGTTCGAGTCGGCCGATGCCGCGGACGCCGCCGCCGCCGCCGTGCGGGAGGAGGGCGGCGCGTGCGGCGTCCGGCTCGCAGACACCTCCACCTCCTCCTCCTCCTCCTCCTCCGCCGAGGGCGCCTTCCCCGACGAGCCGCGCGTGGTCTTTGTGGGCAACTTGCCTCCCGGCGCGGGCGAGGAGGAGCTGTGGGACACCTTCCTCGACTGCGGACGCATCCAGTCCGTCAGCGTCGCCGAGGGCGCGAGCGGAGGCTTCGGACACGTCGAGTTCGACTCGCACGAGGGCGCCGCACAGGCTCGCCGCCCCCGCCGCCCCCGCCGCCCCCGCCGCCCCCGCCGCCCCCGCCGCCCCCGCCGCCCCCGCCGCCCCCGCCGCCCCCGCCGCCCCGGCTCCCCTCGCCGCAGCCGACCCCGTACTTGCCGCCGCAGCCTCTCCCCGTCCCGGCCTCGCGCCCGATTTGCAGGCGCTGCGGCTGCGCGGCTCTCTGCTCCACGGCCGCCGCCTCGTTGTCGACCTCGCGCGAGGAAGCCCTCGCGCGGACGGCGGCGCGGGCGGGCGCGCGGCTGGCAGCGGCCGCAGAGGCGGAGCTAGAGGCGGCGGCGGCGGCGGTGGTGGTGGCGGCGGTGGCGGCGGCGGCGGCTGGAGCTTTGAGCGCGACGAGGCGGAGGAGGAGGCGCTCGACGAGTGTGTCGAGGCGAAGCGGCGGAGGGACTTTGCGACGGCGGACCGGCTGCGCGATGAGCTCGAGGCGAACGGCATATTTCCGGAGCGGGAGAGGCCGGCGCGAGGCGGCGGCGGCGGTGGCGGTCGTGGCTATCGCGCCAGCAACCGTGGTCCGCGCGCTGCCAGCGGATTCGGCAGCCGTGGCGCCGGCGGAGGAGGTCCCTCGCGTGGAGGGTGGAATCGCCGCGTGCAGTAGCGCTGGTTGTGGGCGAGGGCTCGCGTGCAGTGCATGCCGCTTGCAGTGCGCCATGCGAGAGCCAGACGGTTTCTCACGCAGGATTGCGACATTGTACCGCATCATTCACACCTTATGCCACCGCAACAGGTGTAAGCCCTTCTCCTCTTCTCGCTTCTTGTGTGCGCGTGGACGATTTTGGATTTGAACGTCAGTCCAAACAGACAAACAACTCGTGACGACACAAACAGAAACCGACAGAAACACACTCACAGTCTTGGCTAGTGCCATTTCACTGTGGCACAGCTCGCGTTACAAAACCTTGATTTGACCATTTGCGCCATTTTGTCCCTCTCGGTGCCTTCCAGAGGCAGCTGCGACCCTGCCGAGTAGACGGGGGCACTCGGCAGGTGGCGCGGAGTGCCCCCGTCCACTCGGCGGGGTCGCAGCTGCCTCTGTGCGTCCTGGGGAGGGACAAAATTGTCGCCGCCGGAGACGACTCGACGCCGCTGAGATTGGATCAGGTTGCCACGACGAGGTCGAGCACGCTTCTATACGCTCGCCGAGCCTTCCTTTCCATCCAATTAGGCAGCCTGGGAACGGTGGCGGTCAGAGGCAAAGCCTACGAGGGGTGGTGGAACCACATGTCACGGCTACTGCCGGCGGCTCGACCCCACGATAGCCTCCGAAGGCTGACTTTGCGGCACCATCATCGGACGATGTCGACGAGTTGGGTCGCTCTCGCGGTAGCCAGATGACCTCTCTTTCTAGGAGCATCGGCCATGGCCGCAGGGAGCGCGGGGGAGGGCGCTGGAAGCAACACGGAGCTCCGTTGGAGACGTTTTCAAGATTAGCGTGTCAGAGTGAAATGGCACTAGCCCACAGAGAGAGCGAGCAATCGCCATATATACGACCGTCGGCGCTGCACGTGAGGCATAGCTACCCCAACGCCCTGCGAGCTTCCCCGCGCGCCCTCGGCGCCTCGGCGACCCCCCTCGCGAACCCTGTATTGTTACTTTTTTTAACAGTATCCTCTCGTGTGTGAGAACGCCACGCGACGGAGATGGGCGGGGGGGGGGTCGAGAGACGAGAGGCGCGCGCGCGGGGACGAAACGTTTCGAAAAATCAATTGAACAAATCCACATAACCTTCTCTCGACCCATCTTCTCTAGTCTGGGCCGCCTCGTCAGACTCCGAGGGAGGCACACACATCTCTGTCGTGTCTCTCCCTTGACCTCCCTTCTCAGTGGGCCATCACCCGACATCACATTCTTCAGACGCGGGAGCACAATCCCGGACAGCAATCCACGGAGGGGGGCTCTGGCTCAAGCCAAATGAGCCAGAGCGCGAAGAAAGTTCAGCGACCAAGGTCGGGGGGGGGGGGGGGTGACGAGTAGCCAGCCTCAGTTTGGCCCCGCGACCGGGGTGGCCGCATCAGCGGCTTGCGCTGAAGCATACCGCGCTGGGAGATGCTCCTGTGATGGCTGAGTCATAACCTCCACCTCAGGTGTCTGCGCGGGACCCTCTGCGCCCTCAATCCCTCCTTGCACTTGCACCTGCTGCGTCTGCGCCTGCGCTTGTGCCTGCGCCTGCGCTTGTGCCTGCGCCTGCGCTTGTGCCTGCGTCTGCGCTTGTGCCTGCGCCTGCGCTTGTGCCTGCGCCTGCGCTTGTGCCTGCGTCTGCGCTTGTGCCTGCGCCTGCGCTTGTGCCTGCGCCTGCGCTTGTGCCTGCGCCTGCGCTTGTGCCTGCGCCTGCGCTTGTGCCTGCGTCTGCGCTTGTGCCTGCGCCTGCGCTTGTGCCTGCGCCTGCGCTTGTGCCTGCGTCTGCGCTTGTGCCTGCGTCTGCGCTTGTGCCTGCGTCTGCGCTTGTGCCTGCGCCTGCGCTTGTGCCTGCGCCTGCGCTTGTGCCTGCGTCTGCGCTTGTGCCTGCGTCTGCGCTTGTGCCTGCGTCTGCGCTTGTGCCTGCGTCTGCGCTTGTGCCTGCGTCTGCGCTTGTGCCTGCGCACGAGCGGCTAGCGTGGCGTGCCAGTGGTTTTTTATGGCGTTGTCGGTTCGCCCCGGCAGCTGCCGTGAGATCTGAGCCCACCGGTTCCCGTACATGCGCTGCAGCGAGATTATCTTTGCGTCCTCCTCCGGTGACCACGGCTCCTTGTTGACAGTCTCGGCGAGGTGGTTGTTCCACCGCTCACGGCACTGCTTGCCCGAGCGCCCGTGGAGCGAGGCAGCGACCATCGTCCACGAGGATGTGCCGTACACGCGAACCAGGTCGCGCAGCGCGCTGTCCTCTATCGTTCCCCACCGCTGCCGGGACGGAGAGGGCTCGGCGGCAGGCTTGGCAGGCTGTACCGGCAAAGAGCGTAGAGGGCGCGCCGCCATCTGAGGTGCCAGCTGCACTGGGAGGGCTGGGTGATGGAAGCAGGTGGGCGAGTCGGGTCCGGAGAGTGAGCAGTTCGACGAGAGGCTACTCGACGTGCTACACGACGGCGTCGTGCACTGCACCTTGCCGACCGGGCCGCAGAGCATTGCGTCGAGCCTCTCGATGCCATCGTCGAGCGGTCGCTTGAAGCCGAATCTGCGGTCGAACTCCTGGCGCTGGAGAGAACCAGGAGCTTCCCATCCACAAGCGCTCTTCACGAGCGACGCGCAGGCCTCGTGCGGCGAGTAGAAGAGCGAGCGTAGCGCCATCTCCGCCTTGCGCTGCCCGTCCTCAGTCTTGCTCGCCCCAGTCTTGCTCGCCCCCGCATAGGCAACCAGAGCGGCGATCCCCCCGGCACGAGCGATGGGCAGATGCGTAAGCGGGTTGCAAGCCAGGGACATGAGTGCGCCCGCCGCGTGGGCGGCTGCCGTCCGCGACGCATGTGTCGCGTCTGCCCGCGAGCCCTCCCGCAGGATATCGGTGAGCGGGCCAATTCCGCCCCCCTCCACAATGGCATCGGGCGCCGAGTGGTCGGAACTCGCCACAATCTGCGGCGACGCGGGCGCTACTTAAGGTTGGAGCGGGCGCGCGCGGTCGCGGGCGCGCGCGGCACACCTCCAGCAAAGCCACCGCATCATCGCGCTTCTGGTCGCGGCCGTGCGCGACAAACTCAATCAGCTTCTCCAGGAGAATTGTGCGGGCAACCGACTCCACCTTGCTCGCAAGCAGGCCGTTCGGCAGCGCCGCTGCAATCATCGGCTTCTGCTGGACGAGGTTGACTGGATGCATGATGCCCGTCGCGAGCGCTGCGGCGGCTATCGTTTCTGTAGCCTCCGACAGAAGCTGAGCTGAGCTGGAGGGATGATGAGTTGCATGCCGTTTCGCTTATTATTTGGGAGCCGTTGCGGAAAACGCGACCAAAACGTAGGAGGTGTTGCGACTGTTGTGGAACACACGCTCCATTCGCGTAGCGCCACATCAGCTAATCAGTGACTTCTCCACCAGATCGAGTGTCGAGGAGTAGTGATCGACCAGAAGAACGGATATCGGAGCTCGAAGGTAAGGCTTATCGAAAGTGGGGGAGTCAAGGGCGATGTGCAGCGCAAGCATGCACCAGCGCGCGAGATTCGTGAGATCGTTACATACTGAGACAGACAGATTGAGAGTGGGCAGCGTATTGGTGTGGTGGTTGTGGTAAGATCCGTCTTTTGATTTCCCTCGCAATGTCGGCCTGAGGGAAATCCTTTTCTTTGGCCAATCCCCGTGTGTAACGGATCAACGGGCTGGCACAATGGAGAGTTCCAAGTTCGACGGCGCGTTCCAGGCGGAAGCACCCCGGCGGGCAGCGCCGCGGAGGAGGCCTGCCGAGGACGATGCGGATGGTTCGCAGGCAAGTCCGGTACGAGGTGCCAAGCGGTCCGGGTGGGGAGAGTCGGGCGCCAAGGCATCAGCTGCGCCCAGGCGGCGCCGCGAGGCAGCTGGAGAGAAGGGAGAGGAGAGACCGGCGGCGGAGGCTCGGCGAAGTCAAGGGGACGACGAGGACGACGGCCCGGAGACCTTCATCCCCGACCTCGAGGATGAGACTGCCAATGTGGCGATGCAGGTTATGCACCCGCTCTCTCCGATCGCTACGGCCCAGTCCTCAGCCGCTCACGAATATTGCTGTAGGTGGCCGAGACAGCAGCCTACCGCCGCAAGCTGCCGCCGATCCAGGATTTGGATGTTGAGATCCACATGGCACTGCCCTCGGCAGCCGCGCTCGGTGTCGATCTCGGGAT